CCGGGTTCGCCACTAAAAGCCGAGAGGCCTCCGGAAGTGGTTTGAGAATACCAGGAACGTTTTGATTGTGGGTCTTGGTAGGTTCCGGGGTTTTTTAGCACTCCGTATTTTGGGAATTTGGAGACGATTCAGTACACGAAGCGAATCCATTTTATAATTTAGTCGAAAGCCTTGGAGAAGAGGTTGGGGGAGACCCAATTCCAGCAAATGAAGGAGCGTTTCAAAGGGGACATTTTGCCCGCCACACACTTGGATGGCGTGCGGGTTCGGTTGATTGCCAAGGATATAATTGAGGCTTTGCAGAGAGGGTTGAGCCATGAGGTGACCTGGACTGACGTGGACTATGCGTCCGGTAAAGTGGAGCCAGCGCATGAAGGTGGTGGTAAGGATACTTTGATGGCACTGCAGGATGCTCCGCAGGAGGGAAAGTGGTCTCGTGAGGATGAGATTCTTGATCACTGATGCTTCCTCGGAAAAGATGGTAGTGACCTCCAATGTTACCTTACTAAAAGCTCTATCATATGATCTGTGATATCGGTGGATTGGTCTTGTTGATACTTACTGTTAGATTGTTCGGTATATCTGTTGTAGTGAATCTAGTCATTCATGTTTGCTTTTCTACCCTCTCATGTTTCACCTGTAAATTAGTAGTAGTAATCTTTGGTAACGTCGTAAAATAGTTGGATAGGTTGAATGTATTGGATAGGTTGAGTGTATCTGGACTAACTGAATGGTAATCAATTAGCTTTGGACTACCAAGTGAGAATTCTTTGGATCAAAGCTTGGATGTGTAGTTTTGCTTTTTATGTTTTTTTTTTCTCTCATGATTATTACATCCTAGTGCTGTGTACCAGCTGATAGCTTGACAAAATGCTGAACACAATTCTTTCTGTTTCCATGTTCGTGTTCTCATGCACTCTCTCTTGCTCAGGATGGAAATTGAAGCGGATCACATGGGCTTCTGTTGGTTGTTTCTGCTGGATATGATCCCATAGTGTGTCCAACTGTGTACGAGAAGTTGAGCAAGGTTACTGGTGGTGACTCTGCACTCAGAGACTGTCTTTCAACCCATCAATCAGGGAAAAAGAGAGCTGAATTGCTGGCTCAAGCTAAGATCATGAAGGAAGCAGGACGCGGGGTTGAAGGCTTTCTTTAGGACAGTCAGTCATCACCATGCAACTACTGATGCATTTCCACTTTTTCATTTTTTATTTCTTCTGAAGATGGTCCCTGTACTAGTATGTAACTCTTGCATGTGCTAGTACAAGTTATAGCAGGAGAAGTCGTAAAAGAGGAGAGATTATACGGCTAATGATATAGTATAGTAATTTGATCCTCTTTGATTGAGATGAATTCTCATGTTACTGGTTGTCTACAATCGTACGCTCTCTCTTTGTCATTCTTGTGATTCAGTCACGCGTCACTTGTAAATAAATGATATGACCTAAGGTTTCTTTTCTTCTTCTTCTCCATAAGTGCCATGAATTTTCTTTCGACTACTTTACCTGCCGTAGCATTAAGGGCTGGTTTGGTATTGCTGTGTTTTGAAAAAAAAGCTGCTTCTGCTGTGCTGTGAGAATAAGCAGCTGTGAAATAAAGCAGCAAAGTGTTTGGTAACTTTTTTGTAAAAGTGCTTTTGAAAAAAAAAAAACAGTATTATAGTATTTGGTAAACTTTTATGTAAAACAGATTGAAAAAAAAGTCAGTTTTTCAAAGCTGGGTTTTGCAGCTTCTTGTTTTTGGCTTTTTTTCACCTAAAACTATGAAAAAAAGCTGAAGCTGAATGTTTACCAAATACAAAAATAGCTCCCAACTTTTTTTTATACCAGCTTTTTTCAGAATCACCTTAGTACCAAACCAGGCCTAAGTTTGTCTTATAAATTTAAGACATATTTTGAAAGGTACAACAGGCAGAAGACATTAGGATAACGAAGGAGAATTTACCAAAGCAGGGACTGCCTTTTATATTGACTAAGGTTTCTCTCCATCCATTCTATTATAGGAAGGAGAAATTTACCAAAGCATAATCCAATCAATCAATGTCCCACCATAATAAGTTTTAATAAATGGGGATTACGTAATATGTTAATCAGAGATTAAGATTTTATTAACTTAACAGATTTTTTAACGGATGTATAAAATTGAAATAAAATAATAAGTAACATTAAAATGTTTTAAAAATATCGTACAAAATTACAAATGCCCCAAATCATGAAGGGTAAAATGTAATTTAACCTTAAAAATTAAGTGCTTCGAGGATATACCAATATTATTCTCTAAGCATTCCAACATTTTTAATTGATAAAAGATGAGACCAATGTGAAGTCTGAACCGGTTGAGGTTCCACCGTACCAATGGTATAGAAGGTTGAGGGTCTTCATGCGCTTGCATCAATACAGATCGAATAAAACTGAGATTCTATTATAAAATCAATTGATAATATAAGAAGTAACGTAACCTCTTGTAAGTTTTTTGCTAGACTTGTCCCTCACTGATGTGGGACAAATTATCCTCATATTTTGGACTCTCAACACACCCCTTCATGTATGGGCAATTTTTAAGCCAACATGTGGACAACAAATTAGGTGACGTGTGAGCACTTATAACCTTTAGGGTTTTACACGAAGAACAATCTGTTTCGATACCATGTGAAAAAATGAATAAAGAGTCCTATATGGCGGCCTAGTCCTATAACCAGCTGTCTTTGTCATCTTTGTGATTTAGCCATGATTTTGCATACAAATGATACGGCCCATGGTTTATTTTTCTTTGTCTTCTCCATAAGTGCCGTGAGTGCCATGGATTTTTCTTTCCACTGCTTTACCTCCCGTGGCATTAAGCTTAGCTTTGATTTTAGCTTTAATCATGATTAAATCACGTGCTGGAAGATTGAGAGAGAAGAAAAAGAGATATACCATCCTTCCACTAAACTTCTTTTCATTTAAATATATTAAATCAAGGGGCACAAAACATCTACGTCTCATTTAAATGTACTAAATCAAAGAAAAAGACTTTTCTTTTTCTCTTTTTTGGCATCCACTCACATGCGCGAGAAATTTTTTAGTGTGACTGATACATGTGATAGTACATCACGCGGTATTATAAAAATGATAAGATATGTGTATTAAAAAGTTAATAACTTAAAAAATAAAATTCATCACCACTTATATAAAAACACGTAGTGTACCTCCGTGTTCCGGTCACAATAAAAATTTCTCTATATGCAGACCCTTTCCAGCAGAAACCTGGCCTAACATCTCAAACGGGAAGCAATAGTAAAGAAGAGCGGTTGACGTTAGTTTTTTTCCATTTTCAGGGCCTATTTTTATCCTTGCATTTAACTGATATTTGATGAATTTGTAGATTTAATTTGCCAACGATTTTCACTTTGAGCATTTAAATTAAAAATTTTTTTTTTACCACAGAGGTTATCTTTCTAATACTCTATTATCAAAAGGACCATTAATCTGATTTTACTTTTTTTTTTTTTTTTTTTTTTTTAAAATACCACTCATTAGGCTCCTCTGCCTTTTAGGTTCAAATCCAGTTTCAATTTTAGAACATGAGCTAAACAATGATGTGTAGTGAAAACGTAGATTATGCAAGTTCAAATCTAGTCAATTTTTTAAAAAAAAAAATTTCATAAGCAATTTGCGAAATTCTAGTAGTTTTGTAGTTAAAAGCATATGCATAAAAATTTTCAGATCAATACCATTACAACCGTGACATCAGATTAAAATCAAACAACTATTAATCTCTTATTTTTCGCCAACAATGCCATTGCATATAACACACATGTGAGGTGCTTACACTTCGAGATAGTTTCGATCACCCTAACTTACCATTACTGAGTAGTTATTGGGTAGGCTAGGGTAAATTCAACGTACTACTTTGACCCAGTCCCCACACGCAAAGCTGCTAAACCGCCCTTTCCTTGCATTTCTTGGTAAAAAACCAAATATGCAGATTCCTTTTACACTGAAATTTCCTGGAAGAATAAGTGAAAACTCATAAAGCATAATTTTCTTTTGTCTTTTTCGTTTCAACCTATTTATATGATATTGTATTGTATTATAAACAAATGTTACAATGCACGCTAACAAATTACTTCACTACATGGACCCAAGTTTTTTATCCTTATCTAACTGATATTTATGGAAAATTACCGTTTTGATTAAATTTATTAACGATCTTCATTACGAGAATTTTAATTTTAATTTTTTTTATCACGAACTATCTTCTGAATACTCTATCACTATAAGAACTATTAATTCGATTTGACCATTTTAAAATACCACTCATTAGCCTCGTTTGCTTCTTATGTTCAAATATACTAATTTGGTCTCAACCTTAGAACACAAGCAAAACAGTGATATATAGCGAAAACGTAGATTATGCAAGTTCAAATCCAGTCAATATTTTTTTATTTCATAAGCAATTTGTGAAATTATAGTAGCTTTGTGGCTAAAAGCATATACATCAAAGATTTTAGAATTGTACCGTTAGTGTCGTGATCAGAATAGAAGCTAAACAATTATTAATCTCCCACTTTCAGCCCACAATGTCATTAAATATATGAGTAAATTGTAGTAATGATCTTTCAACTTTAATTAAATTGGAGCAATGATCCCTTAACTAAAAATTTATCACCATTTGTCCCTCAACTCATCAAAACGTGTAGCTATGGTCTGTTTCGTCAACTTTGTTAGAATTTTGTCAAAATGAGTTATGTTGGAAGGACTATTGCTATAATTGGGTTAAAGTTGAGGACCATTTCTCTAATTAGGTTAAAGTTGAGGGACTATTTCTCCAGTTGGATTAAAGTTGAGAGTCTATTGGTAATGAATTTTTAGTTGAGAGACTATAGTTGCATGTTTTGATGAGTTGAGGCTCCAATGGTAATAGAATTTTAATTGAGAGATCATTACTCCAATTAAGTTAAAATCGAGGAATTATTGCTACAATTTACTATTAAATATAGCACATATATGAGATGCTTACACTTAACTGGAGATATTTCCGATTAGCCTAACTCGCTCTTCATGTGAGGATGTGAAAACACATAAAAGCATAATTTCCTTTTCCCTTTTGCATTGGCTCATTGACTTGGTATCGATCATACTATTTTCTGGTGATCCAGTTCGTAGAGCAATTGAGTATTTCTGTCCTTACATTCCTCTTAGTCTTAGCTGCTCGATCATCTCCGTCCAAGTGCTATCGATTAATGGCTTCTTCTTCCTTCTTCCTTCTTCTTCTTCTTCTTCCTCTTCCTCTTCTTCTTCTTCTTCTTCTTCTTCTTTTCAGAGGGGAAGACACTCGCAGGGGCTTTGTCAGCCATCTCTACAAAGCTCTGCGTCAGAAACCAATCAACTCTTCTTCTTCTTCTTCTTCTTCTTCTGGCCTTCGTTGGAAATACGATGTGTTCATCAATTTCAGAGGGGAAGACACTCGCAGGGGCTTCGTCAGCCATCTTTACCGAGCTCTGCGTCAGAAACCAATCAACACCTTCATTGATTCCGAAAAGCTCAGAAAAGGCGACCGCATTTCCGAGCTCCTGACAGCGATTCAAGAGTCAAGGATTTCGATTGTAGTTTTCTCTCAAAACTATGCTTCCTCCACTTGGTGCTTGAAAGAACTCGTGCAAATCTTGGAATGCAACGATACCAAGAACCAGATTGTGCTCCCCATTTTCTACCAAGTTAATCCATCTGATGTTCGTAAACTCAAGGGAAGTTTCGCCGAAGCTTTTAATCAGCGTGAAGGCCATTCTAACGCCGACGTGGAAGAGGTGCGAAGCTGGAGGTCCGCCCTTACTCGAGCCACCAATTTATCTGGCTGGGATTCGCAAAACTATGAGTAATTTGCTTCCTAGTATTTTTTGAGATTTTTGTAACGTTTAGCTGTAATTTGATAAATATTTTGTTTTAAGTTTTAAATTTTAAATTTTTAGTTATTTAAAATTAATAGATGAAAACTTGTGATGGGGCTAGAATGGTATGAAATACTCAGTACAAGTTTTATGCGAAACAATCTAAAGACCCATTAAATCTCTATATGCAAGATCTAATTTTTAATTTTTGAGATTATTATATACCATGAAAGAAAAATTGGAAAACTCATTTAATAACTACTTTCAGCGAAACTAAAAATTCATGGCCAAAATTTTAAAACTCAAAACTTAGATTTAAAAAAATTGAAAACAAAATAATTATCAAAATGACGCATTAATTACTATTTGGTGGTGCTATTATAATATTTTTTAAATTTGACAGGGATGATGCAAAGCTTATTGAGGAAATTGTGGAAGATGTTTATAGGAAATTGATCCACATCTCATCAACATCTAGCAAAGCTAAAGGTTTGATTGGAATAGATTCGCACATGCATGAAATGCATTTATTACTATATCCTCCTGGAGTTGAAACGGATGATGTTCGCGTTGTTGGAATATGGGGTATGGGTGGTTTAGGCAAAACAACCATCGCTAGAGCTGTCCGTGATGAAATCGCTGGTCAATTTGAAACTTGTTGCTTTCTTGAAAATGTCAAGGAGGGTTTCGTGAAGCATGGCCAACTACATATGCAGACACAACTTCTCTCGAGTATCTCAAACAACAAGGTGGGGAGTTCCGATATTTTGGATAAAGGTTTCCAGATGATGTTAAATAGCCTAAGTCAGAGAAAGGTCCTTATTGTTATTGATGATGTGGACAAATTAGAACAAATTGAAGCTTTACTTGGAGAGCAACATTCTTCCTTTGGTGGTGGAAGTAGAATTATTATAACAACTAGAGATTTGCAATTACTAAGCATAACTGATGCGATATATAAGCCCAAGATTTTTAGTGATCCCGGAGCTCTAGAACTCTTTAGGCGGTACGCCTTCAGAACAAACGAACCCACTAGAGATTATGATGATCTCACGAGTCGTGCCGTAAAATATGCTCAAGGTCTACCTCTAGCACTCAAGGTCTTGGGAGCTTTTCTTGATAACAAAACTGTACGTGAGTGGAAAGATGTCTTAGAAAAATTAAAGGAAGTCCCGCAAAGGGGGATTAATGATGTGCTTAGAGCAAGCTTTGATGGACTAGATCATAAAGAGAAGAACATCTTTCTAGATATTGCATGTTTTTTAAAAGGAATGAAAGAAGAATATGCAACTGAAATCCTGGATAGTTGTGGTTTCTATCCTCATACTGGAATAAGAGTTCTAATCGATCGAGCTCTCATAACTGTCTCAGTGAATGGGAAACTGGAGATGCATGATTTACTAGAGGAAATGGGTCGGGAAATAGTTCGCCAACAATCTATCGAAGAGCCTGGGGGACGAAGTAGATTGTGGAATTATGAAGATGTTCATCATATGCTAACTCAAAAAACGGTGAGAAATCTTTTTCTTATGCAATGTTTAGAAGAAAGCTTCAACTTTTGACCAAAATTTATTTCTTAGGCCCGTTTGATAACAATTTTTGTTTTCAATTTTCAATTTTTAGTTTTCATTCTTTAATAATTGAAAGTTGAAAACAATTACCAAAGTTGAAAACTAAAAACAAAATGATTATTAAACTGCTCCTTAAGAAACAAGCATTAATTTCATAATGTAAACTAAGGTTCTCTGTTTTTTCCTTTACTTTGACTTGCATAGGCTACAAAAGCAGTTGAAAGCATAATCCTGGATTTGTCGTGCTCATATTGGGTATGCTTAAATGCTGAAGCTTTTGTTAGTATGACTCAACTAAGACTTCTCAAGATCAGTCATAAGGATTCCATTTTTAAACATGATTACTGCAAACAACACCTGATTGGGAACTTCAAGTTACTTGAGTTGAGGCATCTCTCATGGCTTAATTGCCCTCTTAAGTCTTTGGCATCCAACTTTCAATTCAAAAATCTTGTTGACCTTGATATGCAATATAGTCTCATTGACCGACTTTGGGAAGGAACCCAGGTACGTACAATCATCATTTACATGTATTTGTTTATTTTGCATGTTTGGGTTTTGAGATGTCTTATTAAGTAATGCATGTTTTCCTGAATGTTTTCACAGACGCTGGAAAAGGTGAAATTCATCAATTTAAGTTATTGCAAATACCTTAAGGAGACCCCAGACTTCACAAAGGTACCAAATCTTGAGAGGCTAATCCTTCAAAGTTGTATAAGTTTAGTTGAGGTTCACCCATCTATTTCGACTCTTACAAACCTTGTTTTATTGAATTTGAATGGGTGCAAAAAACTTAAGATTCTAGCCAGCAGCATTCGTATGCGCTCTCTTAAAACCCTTGATCTTTATGGTTGCTCAAACCTTGACAAGTTTCCTGAGATTTTAGAAGTTATGGAGGAAGTATTAGAACTTAATTTATCTGGTTCAAAAATTAAAGAATTGCCCTCATCAATTAATAATCTCACGGGGTTGGAGTATTTGTACCTAAAAGATTGTAAGGAACTTAAGAGTCTTCCAAGTAGCATTCGTATGAAATGTCTCAAAGCCCTTGATCTTTCTGGCTGCTTGAGTCTTGAGATGTTTCCAGAGATTTCAGAAGTTATGGAGGAACTATCATGGCTTAGTTTTTCCGAGTCAAAAATTAAAGAACTGCCCTTGTCAATTAATAATCTCACGGGGTTGGAGTATTTGTACATAAAAGATTGTGAGGAACTTAAGAGTCTTCCAAACAGCATTCGTATGAAATGTCTCAAAACCCTTGATCTTTCCGGCTGCTTGAGTCTTGAGAAGTTTCCAGATATTTCAGAAGTTATGGAGGAACTATCATGGCTTAGTTTGTCCGAGTCAAAAATTAAAGAACTGCCATCTTCAATTAATAATCTCACGGGGTTGGAGTATTTGTACATAAAAGATTGTAAGGAACTTAAGAGTCTTCCAAGCAGCATTCGTATGAAATGTCTCAAAAACCTTGATCTTTCCGGCTGCTCGAGTCTTGAGATGTTTTCAGAGACTTCAGAAGTTATGGAAGAACTATTATGGCTTGATTTGTCCGGGTCAAAAATTAAAGAACTGTCATCGTCAATTAATAATCTTACGGGGTTGATTTATTTGGTCCTAAAAGATTGTAAGGAACTTAAGAGTCTTCCAAGTAGTATTCATATGAAATCTCTCAAAGGCCTGTATCTTAATGGTTGCTCGAGTCTTGAGATGTTTCCAGAAATTTCAGAAGTTAAGGAGGAACTATTATGGCTTGATTTGTCTGGGTCAAAAATTAAAGAACTGCCCTCGTCAATTAATAATTACACAGGATTGAGGACATTGGACCTGAAAGATTGCAAGGAACTTAAGAGTCTTCCAACCAGCATTCGTATGAAATCTCTCAAAAGACTTAATCTTTCTGGCTGCTCGAGTCTTGAGATGGTTCCAGAGATTTCAGAATTGAAGGAACTATCACAGCTTAATTTGTCCGGGTCAAAAATTAAAGAACTACCATCGTCAATTAATAATAGCACGAGATTGGAGAAATTGGACCTGAAAGATTGCAAGGAACTTAAGAGTCTTCCAACCAGCATTCGTATGAAATCTCTTGAAAAACTTAATCTTTCTAGCTGCTCGAGTCTTGAGATGTTTTCAGAGATTTTAGAAGTGATGGAGGAACTTTCATGGCTTGATTTGTCCGGATCAAAAATTAAAGAACTGCCATCGTCAATTAATAATCTCACGGAGTTGGAGTATTTGGGCCTTAAAGATTGCAAGGAACTTAAGAGTCTTCCAATCAGCATTCTTATGCAATCTCTCAAAAAACTTGATCTTTCTGGCTGCTCGAGTCTTGAGATGTTTCCAGAGATTTCAGAAGTGATGAAGGAACTTTCATGGCTTGATTTGTCCAGATCAAAATTTAAAGAACTGCCATCGTCAATTAATAATCTCACGAAGTTGGAGTATTTGGGCCTTAAAGATTGCAAGGAACTTAAGAGTCTTCCAATCATCATTCGTATGCAATCTCTCAAAAAACTTAATCTTTCTGGCTGCTCGAGTCTTGAGATGTTTCCAGAGATTTCAGAAGTGATGGAGGAACTTTCATGGCTTAATTTGTCCGGATCAAAAATTAAAGAACTGCCATCGTCAATTAATAATCTCACGGAGTTGGAGTATTTGAGCCTTAAAGATTGCAAGGAACTTAAGAGTCTTCCAACCAGCGTTCATATGCAATCTCTCAAAAAACTTAATCTTTCTGGCTGCTCGAGTCTTGAGATGTTTCCAGAGATTTCAGAAGTTAAGAATGAACTATCATGGCTTAATTTGTCCGGATCAAAAATTAAAGAACTGCCATCGTCAATTAATAATCTCACAGAGTTGGAGTATTTGGGCCTTGAAGATTGCAAGGAACTTATAAATCTGCCAAGCAGCATTTGTCAACTTGAATCCCTATACTCTCTCTCTCTTTCTGGTTGCACAAAATTTGAGGTGTTTCCAAGCATTGAAGAAGATATGGAAGGATTAACGGTGCTTCACTTGGATGGAACATCTATCAAAGAGCTTTCCCCATCAATTGAACGGCTTCAGGGGCTTGAATACTTAAATCTGAGAAACTGCAAAAGCCTTGTACATCTTCCTGACACTCTCTGTAATTTGGCACACCTTGACGCTCTCAATCTATGTGGGTGCCCAAACCTTTCTCAATTACCCGTCAACTTTAGGATGCTTGTTGGATAATGCAGTAGAAAGAAATTGATAGTGGGGCATCCGTTACAGAGCCGTTGTGAAAGTTTGACGCGTGGACAACACTCACAAAATCGGCACACAGAGCTCGACCCAAACCCCCCAATTTCCAGGTAATAAACACATGGATACGAAGCTCTGTTTTGAAGCAATCAGTCGGTCACTACGCCACATGCGGCTGCCTTCAATTGCTTATTGTGATTATGTCGCGAGGGAGAGGTATATATCTCTACATGTGCTGCTTTTCTTTCTTATACTTTTGATTTGTGCTTGTGCAGAAACTGTGAAGATATTGCTATCTATGTCAATTCCCGTTGCTCCTCCAATTTGGATGAAAGGTACTTTGCTTTCCTTATATCTTAACTTTTCTATATCTGCAATTTCGTTGCAAATGAGTCTCCTCGTGGTCCTCCTGACGATCCTTACATTCTCAGCTCCTGATGCAACAGCCTCAGCAAGCGATCACTGCTATAATGTAGGAGATCTGTCTTCTTCGTCAACAAAGTTGGCCTCTTGAACAACCCCAGGTACCCTTATCTTCCTCACCGCCGATTGAATACAAATTCTTTAAATTCTGTAAATATTTTTAGAGGAAAACGCTAACGGTTTTAAGTTCTTGCTTATATAAGGTTTCAGTTACTTCTTCGACTAAGCAATTCAAAGCTGGAGAGAGCCTGTGTCGGAAGAAGCTTAAAGTTGTTGAAGTTGTGAAGTTCAGGGATGTTATCAGTAATGAATTTCACTTCCAGATGTATTGTGATGATCTTCCAGTCTGCGGGTACATCGGGAAAGTTGAAGATGAGAGTTGGGAAAAGGGACCAAGTATTATCTGTTCACATATTTGCTTTTTGATGTTCTTTACAATGGAAAAGAAATACATGCTTTTTGTGATCCAAATCATGTTATCGATATAACAGAAATTGATATTGATGTTGAGTTCACTTATTCGGTTAACTGGAAGGCCACCTCAACTCAGTTCCAGATCAGGATGGTCAAGTACTCAAAGGCTTCATTACTGCCAGTCTGCCAGAAAAGTCATTGGTTCTCATTCATTAATTCTATTTCATCATTTTGCTTTTGATGGGATTGCTTGCTTTGCTCATAGTGCGACGCCTCAAGAATGATATGGAAAAGTTAAACATTATTCACAATCCTGTCCTCCAACTACATTATGTTTTTACTTGGTCAGCCTAGTGTAATTAATCTTGTCGTAGGTTCTCAAACAGTGACGAAGAAGAAGACAAGGAGGTTGGCTGGAAATACATTCATGGTGGTGTTTTCAGAGATCCCCCAAACATGTCACTGTTTTGTGCTGTCTTGGGCGTGGGTACCCAACTGCTTGCCTTGTAAGCTAATTTATCATTCTTCAGTCACTTCTCTTCTTGTTTCATAGCTTTATGTTCTGTAGATAGCATGGTGACAGATATTTTACTCTGTTTTTAACTTTTAAGGGAACACCTATAGAACAGAGGGACATCAAAGCCTCTGTAAATGTTGAACACCTACACATAATATCATATACGTATAAGATGTAGGACAATAAGACTAGTTAGGCAGACAAGAAGATATTTGGACTCACTCCATCCTTTGGCATCCCCCAGAAGGTGCCTTGGAATCACTCCAAGGTTAATGTGCCTCACACACAAGCAGAAAATCCAAGATTTCTTGCCCCTTTTAGGCTAATCGGTACATGAATCTGGAAAGATCCACATTAATATACTTAGGAATTCTAAAGACTAATTTATGACACACTGCATTAATATTGCAACTTAAAGACAATGAACTTGCAGACCATGTGTATATTTGAAGCAATTCAACTTGCTCTGATCCCAGCTCCTTGTGTTTGGAATGAACTTCGGATTGCAGCGTTGTTGCCTGGAAGATTGTGATTTGTGACAGTGGTATTAGGCCCAGAGTGCAGGAGGGACAGATGGTGAAAGATGCAGGAGCCATTGGTATGATTTTGGCAAACACAGCTGCTAATGCAGAACAAATGTTTCTATTTTGACTCTTCATACAACTGTGACTAATGTTGGCTCTGCGGTTTCAAATTACCACACCGTAGTTTCGCAGTTCAAAGGTGCTTATGTGAAAGTCGAGCCTCAGACGTTTAACTTCACCAGAGCAAACCAAAAACTATCTTATAAGATCACCTTACCATGAAATCCCGGCAGGCGGTTCCGGAATTCGGAGGGTTGGTGTGGAAGGATGGAGTGCAAAGGGTGAGAAGCTCTGCTGTTGTAGTTTGGCTACCTCCACTGTGAATCATGCACTGGTGTTTTTTTTTTTTTTGCCCTTTTTGGCATGATTTAATTTCAATGTATGTTTACATTAATTATTAATGCTTTTTATTCCGTCCGAGCATTTCAGTCCTTGCAGTACATGAGGCTAGTCAATCATTGCTTACATGGTACTTTCTGCGATCAATCCCATGCATGCTAATGGCTGCTGCTGCTGCTGCTTCTTCGTCTTCATCCGACAGTCATTGGAAATACGATGTGTTCCTGAATTTTAGAGGACTCGAGGCTGCTGCTTCTTCGTCAGCCATCTCAACAAAGGTCTGGATCAGAAAGCAGTCAACACCTTAATCGAAGCCGAAGAGCTTCAAAAGGCAACGACCTTTCGGAGCTCCTGGCAGCTATTAGCGGCTCAGGCTTTCAATCCTAGTTTTTTTTTCGAAAACTATGCTTCTTCGACTTGGTGCTTGAAAGAACTTGCCCAGATAATGGAATGCGTGGATGCACACAAGCAGATACTGGTTCCTGTTTTATACGGAGTCGATCCATCCGATATTCGAAAACAGGAAGTTGTGCAGAAGTTTTGCACAAGCAGATACTGGTTCCTGTTTAAAAAAAAAAAATGCAGACTGTATGAGTGTCAACTTTTAACCTTTGTTTTAGTTTTAACTTTGACTTTTTTTAAATCTTCAGGCTGTTTATCTTATTTTTGCTACCATTTTTTGGTGTCCTATATCCGTATAATCGTGGAGCTTTGTTCACTTCTCTCGTCTTTATATGTACTACTTCAATCATCGGTGGGTACACTGCTGCTGCTTTCCACAATCAATTTTCAGTGACAGGATGGGTAATTTTCTTCGTCATATGGTTCTAGGATTAGTCTTTCTATCAGAGAGCTTTCCCCCTCGATTGAACGACTTCAGGGGCTTTAGTATTTAAATCTGAGAAACTGCAAAAGCCTTGTACATCTTCCCAACACTCTGTAATTTGGAACACCTTGTAGCTCTCAATCTCTGTGGGTGCACAAATCTTTCTCAATTACCTGTCAACTTTGAGGATTTAGTACGCTTGTGGGATAATGCAGTGGATTTTGATAATGGGCATACTGGCTTTTTCACCCGTGTAGTATGCTCCTAAACATCATCGGCATCCACTACAGAGATCCGTAGTGAAGGTTTGACACGTGTACAACACTCCCAAACATCATTGGCATCCACAACGGCTACACGCCATATCAGAGCTCCGTTTTGCCTGGGTCCCTCTCTGCCCCAACCCCCCAATTTCTAGGTAATCAAAATTCAAACCCAATTTTTGATCCGGAATTAAATTTCAATATCTGGGAAATTTTATTATCTGAAAAAGAAATAATTTTCGGGGGTTTTGGGTACACTCTGCTGATAAACACATGGATACGAAGCTTGGTTTTGATGTAATCAATCGGTCACTACGCCACGTGCAGCGGCTTTGGTGGAATTGGCATGGTCAGACGGCTAGGGTAGAAACTGTGCTTGTGCACAAGCTGTGAAGATACTGCTATGTCAATTCCTGTTGCTAACTTGCTAATGCCACCGGTGCTCCTCCAATTTGGGTGAAAGGTACTTTGCATTTCCTATTATCTTAACATTTCTACATCTGAATTTGTGTACATGACTATATTATTCTAGATTAGATTGCTTTTTTTGCATTAGTGGGGTATAATGATGGGTTTTTCAATCTAGTTGTATGCATCATCAGCACAATGTACATTCATCTGTAGCTTAGGTCGTTATAAAATTTTGAACACCTTTTCCTGTGAAGGAAATCAAAGAGAAATGAGCCTTCGCTGAGTGAAACCATGGTATTCAATACAGCAAACAAGACCTGCCACACAGCCTTTCTCGCTTGTTGGTTTTCTTAGCTAGTTAGCCAGTCTAGATTTCATGTGTCAGACTCACACATTTGTACTCTCCTTGACTCATCCCCAAATACTCAAAAGTCCCCTCAGCGACCAATGTCTGTCTCCCTCAGTCACTCACAATACCACCGAATAAATAAGTTGCCAAGACTCAATCCACTGCAAGCACACCTCAACACCCCAAACCCACCCTCACCATGAACTCCAAAGTTCCACTTTTACATTTTTGGAATTGAAGTGCAGGTCACTTCTTTGGAGTTGTTCTTTTATCTATTATTGTTTTGAAATGAATGAAGAGAGGAGGTTGATGCTGTATATTTGAAGCAATTCAACTTGCTCTGATCCCATCTCCTTGTGTTTGGGAGGAACTTCGGATTGCAGCGTTGTTGCCTGGAAGATAATGATTTGTGACAGTGGTATTAGGCCCAGAGTGCAGGAGGGACAGATGGTGAAAGATGCAGGAGCCATTGGTATGATTTTGGCAAACACAGCTGCTAATGCAGAACATATGTTTCTATTTTGACTCTTCATACAACTGTCACTAATGTTGGCTCTGCGGTTTCAAATTACCACGCCGTAGTTTCGCAGTTCAAAGGTGCTTATGTGAAAGTCGAGCCTCAGACGTTTAACTTCACCAGAGCAAACCAAAAACTATCTTATAAGATCACCTTACCATGAAATCCCGGCAGGCGGTTCCGGAATTCGGAGGGCTGGTGTGGAAGGATGGAGTGCAAAGGGTGAGAAGCTCTGCTGTTGTAGTTTGGCTACCTCCACTGTGAATCATGCACTGGTGGTTTTTTTTTTTGCCCTTTTTGGCATGATTTAATTTCAATGTATGTTTATATTAATTATTAATGCTTTTTATTCCGTCCGAGCATTTCAGTCCTTGCAGTACATGAGGCTAGTCAATCATTGCTTACATGGTACTTTCTGCGATCAATCCCATGCATGCTAATGGCTGCTGCTGCTGCTGCTTCTTCGTCTTCATACGACAGTCATTGGAAATACGATGTGTTCCTGAATTTTAGAGGACTCGAGGCTGCTGCTTCTTCGTCAGCCATCTCAACAAAGGTCTGGATCAGAAAGCAGTCAACACCTTCATCGAAGCCGAAGAGCTTCAAAAGGCAACGACCTTTCGAAGCTCCTGGCAGCTATTAGCGGCTCAGGCTTTCGATCCTAGTTTTTTTTTTCGAAAACTATGCTTCTTCGACGTGGTGCTTGAAAGAACTTGCCCAGATAATGGAATGCGTGGATGCACACAAGCAGATAGTGGTTCCTGTTTTATACGGCGTCGATCCATCCGATATTCGAAAACAGGAAGTTTTGCAGAAGCTTTTGCCTAAACATAAACGTCATTCTAACGCTGGCGTGAAGGAGGTGCAGGGCTGGAGGTCCGCTACCATTTATCCGGTTGGGATTCGCAAAATTATAAGTAAGTTTAATTTTTTTTTCACATGCACTTGCTGTTAAAGTATTTTAACCGTACAAATATCATAACTTGAAAGTGTTCATTTTCTTAATCAAGATTAGCTGGAGATTGTTAATTACCCATATGTATCGAATAAATCCACGATTTTGGTCACTGCTAACATCCTTAAATTTAAATGGCTAAATGTTCACCAATTTGGCCATATATATGCTCATGAACACGAACAATTCAGATTATGAAATTTGTGCGGCTAAAGTATGTTAATTGCAATTTGCAAGCAAGTGAACATGCATTCCTTTGACTCTTTTGGGCTTGTTATAAAACTCAGTTTGATAATTCTAAAACTTCACAGGGATGATGCCAATTTGAAGCTTTGACTCTTTTATGATGAAATCGCTTGTCAATTTGAAGCTTGCTGCTTTCCCAAAAATGTCAACGAAGGCTTCTCGGATAATGGTGCTGTACATCGCTTCAGATAACCACTCCTCTGCTAGGCAGCGTTTGGAATGGCCGAGAGCGGACCTTTTTGGGAGCGACGACCCCAACAGTTTGGAAGATATCTTGAGAAAAGGTTTTAGCACCGGTGAATGCATGCAGGAACTGCTTAACGTAAAATGCGGAGTTTTCATTGTTCTTGATGATGTTGAAAAATTATCCCAAATTGAAGGCTTACTTGGAAAGCAGCATTCAATTTGGGTGAAAGGTACTTTGCATTTCCTTTAATCTTAATTCTTCCATATCTGCAAATAACAGTGGTTGAGCCCTCTGGATTGTGTAAATGACTATATTAGTCTAGATTAGATTTCTTTTTTGGCGTAACTGGGGTATAATGACGGTATTTTCAATTGCTTGTCGTATTCATCAACACATTCTGCGTAGGAAATCACAGAGAAATGAAACCATGGTATTCAATACAACGAACAAGAGCTGCTATACAACCTTTTAAGTTTTACAGAGCATTGCATAGTTGACATCCATCTCGCCTTTAACAAATACAATCGAAAACTAACTCCTGAAACTGTTAAAGTTTCCCAATATGTGGACGGATTACTTCGCACATGTTTTGTTGTTATTGCTTCCCTTTATGTTTTTCGGCCATGCTTTGTGCGTCATTGGTAGTGATGCCAGTTTTAGTTGCATGCTCACATAAACTCTGCCAAAAATACACAGAATTTCAAGATTTTAAATCCCTTTGTGCACCATTTGTTCTGCTAACGAGTTTCATCTTTAAGTTCTTTTGTTGGAAAATTTTGATCTTGAAGTCTGGCACACGTTCTTTTGCAGGGAAGGTGTATGAGATTGGATCATCTGGAATTAGCAGTCTATAAAGGCACAACAAGAGGAGGAATAAATAAGAGCCTCAATGATTTCATCTCCCTCTTCGGAAGGATGTCCCTTGTACCAACTAATGCTAAAGCTGCAGAGTAGACACTAGAATCAAATGGTTCTGGTAGTTTCAGGTTAGATTTATATATTTCTAGTATCTGTATATATACTGCTTGGAGAAGGACGTTATAGCTAATAGGATGTTAGGAACATGATGATACTCCTGAACCATAATCCACATTTGTTTACTGACCAATGACAGAGAACACAAATTGATAAAAGTATATTAACTTAGCAGACACAAATTAATACAATCATAAATAACTCAACAAGTGCCCAATACATACGAGTAAGTAAATAGTGACCAGGTACCAGTCTCAGGATGAACGATGAAGAAAGAAATACCTGAAAAAGCAAAAACCAAAATAGAAGAGCTCTCAAAATACACAAATCAACTCAAAACTCAGAAAGAGTAAAAAATTCCTCTGTGTTAATGTTGAAATGACTATATTAGCCTAGATTAGATTGCTTTTTTTTTTTTTTGTGTAAGTGGGGTATAATGGCTGATTTTTCGTTTGCTTGTAGTATGCATCATCAGCAGACTCTGCATTTATCAGTAGCTTAGGTAGTTAAAAAATTTTAAGCACCTTTTCCTGTGAAGGAAATCAAAGAGAAATGAAGTCTTTGTCGCTGAGTGAAACCATGATATTCAATACAACGAACAAAAGCTGCTACTTAGTCTTTCTCGCTTATTGGATTTCTTAGCCAGTTAGCCGGTCTAGATTTCATGTCACACTCACAAATCTGTCTAGCCAATTTCTCCAGTTATTGGTAGGGAACATATTAACAAAGCTTGACTGACTCTCTTCAACTCCTCCCCCCCAAATACTCAAAGTCGCCTCAGCAACCATTGTCTGTCTCTTGCAATTCCACCGAATGAATATGTTCCCATGACTACAAGGCCCCGAGCACACCCCAACAACACAAACCCACCCTCACCATCAACCACCACAAAAACACCCACCATTAAAGTTATCAAAATTTCCCCAGTTTCGCTTTTACTTTTTTGGAATGGAAGTGCAGTTCACTTCTATGGAGTTGTTCTTTTATCTATTATTGGAATTGACGATGATGTAATTGCCCCTTCTCCCACATTGGATTTTTCTTTCACCGTCTGGCAATCTGCGTCAAATGCCATTTGGATGCATACACTTCTCATAAAACTGCATTCTTTCATAGGAATACATTTACTATCTATCTTTTCGTTTGGGTTTGCAGGTTCAATTGCTTATGTGCTGCTTTTCTTATACGTTTGATTTGTGCTTGTGCAGAAACTGTGAAAATATCCGTCATTTCTCACTGCTAATGCCACCGGTGCTCCTCCAATTTGGGTGAAAGGTAGCTTGCTTTTCCTTATCTTAACATTTCTATATCTGCAAATTACAGTGAATAATGCCCTCCGATTTTGTATTAATGTCCAAATGACTATATTAGTCTAGATTAGATTCCTTTTGAAGCATAAGTGGCGTATAATGATGGGCTTTTCAATTGCTTGTCATCTGCATCATTAGCACGCTCTGCATTCATCGGTAGCTTAGGTAGTTATAAACTTTAAGCACCTTTTCCTGTGAAGGAAATCAAAGAGAAATAAAGCCTTTCTCGCTGAGTGAAACCATGGTATTCAATACAACAAACAAGAGCTGCTACGCAGCCTTTCTCGCTTATTGGATTTCTTCGCCATTCAGCCAGTCTAGATTTCATATATTACACCACACCTCTGTCTAGCCAATTTCTCCATTTATTGGTAGAGGACATATGTTAACAAAGCTTTGCCTGACTCTCCTAGATTTCTCCCAAAATTCTCAAAGTCCCCTCAGCTACCAATGTCTGTCTCTCTCAGTCACTCACAATTCCACTGAATAAGTTGCCACTACTCAATCCACTGCGAGCACACCCCAAAACCCCAACCCCCCCAACCAACACCATGAACTCCAAAGTTTCACTTTTACTTTCGGAATTGTAGTGCAGTTCACTTCTTTGGAGTTGTCCTTTTATCTATTATTGTTTTGAATTGAATGAAGAGAGGAGGTTGATAGTGTATATGGGAAGCAATTCAACTTGCCCGGATCCCAGCTTCTTGTGTTTGGAAGGAACTTTGGATTGCAGCGTTGTTACCGGGAAGAATTGTGATTTGTGACAGTGGTATTTGGCCCAGAGTGCAGGAGGGACAGGTGGTGAAAGATGCAGGAGCCATTGGTATGATTTTGGCAAACACAGCTGCAAATGGAGAACAAACATTTCTGTTTTGACACTTCATACAGCTGTCACTAATATCGGCCCTGCAGTTTCGAATTACCACACCATAGTTTCGCCGTTCAAAAGTGCTTATGTGAAAGTCGAGCCTTGGACGCTAAACTGCACCAGAGCAAATAAAAAACTCTCTTATAAGATCACCTTCATTACGAAATTCCGGCAAGCGGTTTCGGAATTCGGAGGGTTGGTGTGGAAGGATGGAGCGCACAGGGCGAGAAGTCCTACTCTGGTTGTTTGCTAAAGTGAATCATTCATTAACTCTTGGGTTCCAGAAATTGGAAAGAAGGGAATTGAAGTAGTACAAAGACCCTTGACCCTCCCTATCACAAAAACTTTTAGTATTGTGGTGATCATATTTCAGAGCTTTTGTTCACTGATGCTTCCTTGAAAAAGACGATGGTGACCTCCATTGTTACCTTACTGAAAGCTTCATCATATGCTCTGTGATACCGTTGGATTGGTCTTGTTGATACTTACTGTTAGATTTCTTGGTATGTCACTTGTAGTGAATCTAGTGATTCATGTTTGTTTTTCTACCCTTTCATGCTTCACCTGTAAAGTAGTAGTAGTAGTAGTCTTTCGTAACATCGTAAAATAGTTGGATAAGTTGAGTGTATCTGGACTAACTGAATGGTAATGAATTAGCATTGGACTACTAAGTGAGAATTCTTTGGATTAAAGCTTGGGTTTTATTTTTTATATTTTATTTTCTCATGATCATTGCATCATATCGCTTGTGTACCAGCTGATAGCTTGACAAAATGCTGAACAGGATTCTTTGGTTTTCCATGTTCGTGTGCTCATGCTCTCTTTCACTTAATCAGGATGGAAATTGAAGCGGATCACATTGGGCTTCTGTTGGTTGCTTCTGCTGGATATGATCCCAGAGTGTGTCCGAGAAGTTGAGCAAGGTTACTGGTGGTGACTCTGCACTCAGAGACCATCTTTCAACCCATCCATCAGGGAATAAGAGCTGAATTGCTGGCTTAAGCTAAGATCATGGAAGAAGCACTCGCAATACACCGGATGTAAGAGCAGGACGCGGGTTGAAGACTTTCTTTAGAACAGTCAGTAATCACCATGCAACTACTGACATAGTTCAATTTTTTTTTTTTTTTTTTTTCTTCTGAATATGATTCCTGTACTTGTATGTAACTCTTGCAGGAGAAGAAAAAGAATATGCAACTTACATATGATTCCGTTGGATATATGTAACTCATATATGATCTTTAAATATATATTACTCATTTATGATCTTTAAATATATGAATAATTTTTAAATATGTGATCTTTAATTAGATGATTCCGTTGATCGTTGGATATGACATATGTGAGATGTTTACACTTAGCCGAATATATTTCGGGTCATCCTAACTCACTCTTCATGTGAATAGCAAGATTGTGCTATATTTTCGGTTTACAACGAAGTTGTTGGGTAGGCAAGTGTGGATTCAATATCGTACTTTAACCCCTTTCTTCGCATTTTCTTGGGTCAAAAAATCAGAAGTATGCACATCCCTTTCGCACCGAAATTTCCTTGAAGATCCAAATGCAAGTACGCCGGTGCCGCGTTCTGCGTCTTGTACATGATTCGATTTGGTGACTTCAGAGTTGTTCTATGGGGCCAAGCTGCTGATTACAGAGAAAGAATTGATGAGTTCGATGGGTTCGAATTCGAAGTTGAAATCTGCTGAGGATGATGACCGTGCGGAGGAGGGCGGCGGCGTTGGGATTGGCACTGAACCTGTTTATAAAAATGCGGCTTCGGAATCAACCAATGGGGAATGGGTGAGTGCAGACGAGACAAGGGAGGGAGAAGGAGGGAGGGGGTCGTAGGGCTGAGGCCCAGAATTTTTTTTTATTTTTTGATTTTTTTAAGTTTTTTTAATTTTTTAATATTCATGTAGGCCTCATATTGACACTTGGCGTCCAATTATGTCCACGTGAACACCACGTCATCAGTTAATGACTTATTTAACCGTCAGACTAACAAACAGATTTATGAAACTGTTCTAAAATTAACAATATGACTCTGGAACGAAAAAAAACTTCATGTAAACTTGAGATCAGTAAACTTATATTTACCCTTAAATATATTAAATCGAAGAAAAATGCTTTTCTATTTACCAAAAACAAAGAAAAAAAAAAGAAAAATGCTTTTCTTTTTCTGTTTTTCGGCGCCCACCCGTATGCAGACCGAGTCCAGGGTTTTGAAGAGCAGAACTGTAAAACTTAAGAACACTCAAGGTTTCTCTTCAATTGCATTACCCAATCAGTGATGGGCTGCATGTATTAATACTGCATTCCAGATTACATGAGGGAATTGAAATCCCTGTTTACAAGGTTATTTGAAATTAAAAAATACAACAGAAAGATCAAACTTTGATGTACGCGGAAAGACATATTTGAAAGAGTCTTAAACTAAAATAACTCCTGTTGGATAACAGTTTGACTTGATCACGAACTCTAGAAACCGCACGCAGACTATGACTTGGTCTAACAAGAACAACATCTTTTCAACTTTTCGCATTTTCTTGGGTCACCGAAATTTCCTGGAAGAAGATGTGAAAACCCATAAAGCATAATTTCCTATTTTCGCTTTTGCCCCTTTGCATTGAGTCATTGACTTGGTATCTATCAGACCATTTATCGGTGATCCAGTTTGTAGATCTACTTGTGTTCTTGCATTCCTCTTAGTCCTAGCTGCTCGATCATCGCTGACCCGCTGCGATCGATTAATGGCTACTTCTTCTTCTTCTTCTTCTTCTGGCCTTCGTTGGAAATACGATGTCTTCATCAATTTCAGAGGGGAAGACACTCGCAGGGGCTTCGTCAGCCATCTATACAGAGCTCTGCGTCAGAAACCACTCAACACCTTCATTGATACCGAAGATCTCAGAAAAGGCGACCGCCTTTCCGAGCTCCTGACAGCGATTCGAGAGTCAAGGCTTTCGATTGTAGTTTTCTCTCAAAACTATGCTTCTTCCACTTGGTGCTTGAAGGAACTCGTTGAAATTTTGGAATGCAACGATAACAAGAACCAAATTGTGGTCCCCATTTTCTACGAAGTCGATCCATCCGATATTCGTAAACTCAAAGAAAGTTTCGCCGAAGCTTTTGATCGGCATGAAGGCCATTCCAACGCCAACATGGAGGAGGTGCGGAGCTGGAGGTCCACCCTTACTCGAGCCACCAATTTATCCGGCTGGGATTCGCGAAACTATGAGTAATTTCTAATTTGCTTTACTTTGCTATTAATTTTTGTAACGTTTAGGAGTCACTTTTTGTTTTAAGTTTTTAATTTTTAATTTTTAGTTATTTGAAATTAATAGATGAAAACTTGTGATGGGGCTACAATGATATGAAATACTCAATACAAGTTTTATGCAAAACAATTGTGAAGACCCATTAGATCTCTACATGTAAGATCTAACTCGTAGTTTTTTAGACTATTATATAGCATGGAAGAAAAATTGAAAAACTCATTTGATAACTACTTTTAATGAAACTAAGAATTCATGGCCAAAATTTTAAAATTCAAAATTTACATTTAAAAAAAAATGAAAACAAAATAACTATTATAACGACCCATTAATTATTAATTGGTGGTGCTATTATAATATTTTTAAATTTTGACAGGGATGATGCAAAGCTTATTGAGGAAATTGTAGAAGATGTTTATAGGAAATTGATCCTCATCTCATCAACTTCAAGCAAAGATAATCCTTTGATTGAAATGGATTCTCATATGCATGAAATGCATTTATTATTACATCCTCCTGGAGTTGACACGAATAATGTTCGTGTTGTTGGAATATGGGGTATGGGTGGTTTAGGCAAAACAACCATCGCTAGAGCTGTTTATGATGAAATCGCTTGTCAGTTTGAAGCTTGTTGCTTTCTTGAAAATGTCAAGGAAGGTTTCAAGAAGCATGGCGAACTCGATGTGCAAACACAACTTCTATCTAGTATCTCGAGCAACAAGGTAGGGAGTTCGGACATATCAAATAAAGGTTTCCAGGTGATGTCAAAAAGCCTTGGCCAGAGAAAAGTTCTTGTTGTTGTTGACGATGTGGACAAATTAGCTCAAATTGAAGCCTTACTCGGAAAGCGGCATTCTTTTGGTGATGGAAGTAGAATCATTATAACAACTAGGGATGCACAATTACTAAGTGGAGCTGATGCGATATATAGGCCCAAGATTTTTAGTGATCGTGGAGCTCTGGAACTCTTTAGGCAGTACGCCTTTAAAACAAACCAACCCACCAGAGATTATGACGATCTTTCGAGGCTTTTCACACAATATGCTCAAGGTCTGCCTTTAGTACTCTCAGTCTTGGGAGCTTTTCTTGATAACAAAACTGTACACGAGTGGGAACATGTGTTAAAAAAAATAAGGGAAATCCCACAAAGGGGAATTTATGATGTGCTTAAAACAAGCTTCGATGGACTAGATGACACAGAGAAGGACATCTTTCTAGATATTGCATGTTTCTTTAAAGGGATGAAGAAAAACTATGCAACCGAAATTCTGGACGGTTGTGGTTTCTATCCTCATACAGGAATAAGAGTTCTAATCGATCGAGCACTCATAACTGTCTCAGGGGAGGGGGAACTGGTGATGCATGATTCACTAGAGGAAATGGGCCGGGAAATCGTCCGCCAAGAATCTATCAGAGAGCCTGGGAGACGAAGTAGATTGTGGAGCTATGAAGATGTTCATCCTGTGCTAACTCAAAATACGGTTAGAAATATTTTTCTTATGCAATTGTTGGTAGAAAGCTGCAACTTTTGATCAAAATCTATTTCTTAGGCCCGGTTTAATAACCATTTTTGTTTTCAATTTGTAATTTTTAGTTTTCATTTTTTTAATAATTAAAAATTGAAAACAATTACCAAAGTTGAAAACTAAAAAGAAATGATTATCAAACTGCTCCTTAAGAAACAATCATTAATTTCAAAATGTAAACTAAGGTTCTCTGTTTTCTTTCCTTTACTTTGATTTGCACAGGCTACAAAAGCAGTTGAAGGCATAATCCTGGATTTGTCGTGCTCAGATTGGGTATGCTTAAATGCTGAAGCTTTTGATAGTATGACTCAACTAAGACTTCTCAAGATCAGTCACTCTATTTTTGAACATGATTACTGCAAACACCACCTGATTGGGCACTTCAAGTTACTTGAGTTGAGGTATCTCTCCTGGCTTGGATGCCCTCTTAAGTCTTTGCAATCCACCTTTCATTTCAAAAATCTTGTTGCACTTGATATGCAATATAGTCTCATTGACCGACTTTGGGAAGGAACCCAGGTACGTACAATCATTTACATGTATATGTTTCTTTTAAATGTTTGGGTTCTAAGATGTCTCATTAAGTGATGCATGTTTTCTTGATTGTTTCAACAGAAGCTGGCAAAGTTGAAGTTCATCGATTTAAGTTACTGTCAACACCTTAAGGAAACCCCTGACTTCACAGAGATGCCCAATCTTGAGAACCTAATTCTTCGAGATTGTATAAGTTTAGTTGAGGTTCACCCATCTATTTCAACCCTTACAAACCTTGTGTTATTGAATCTTTTTGGGTGCAAAAAACTTAAGATTCTAGCCAGCATCATGCGTATGAAATCTCTCAAAACCCTTGATCTTTCTGGTTGCTCGAGTCTTGAGATGTTTCCAGAGATTTCAGAAGTTATGGAGAAACTATCATGGCTTAGTTTGTCCGGGTCAAAAATTAAAGAACTGCCCTCGTCAATTAATAATCTCTCGGGGTTGAGTGATTTGTCCCTAGTAGATTGCAAGGAACTTAAGAGTCTTCCAAGTAGCATTCGTATGAAATGTCTCAAAACCCTTAATCTTTCCGGCTGCTTGAGTCTTGAGATATTTCCAGAGATTTCAGAAGTTATGGAGGAACTATCATGGCTTGATTTGTCCAGGTCAAAAATTAAAGAATTGCCCTCGTTAATTAATAATCTCACGGGGTTGAGTGATTTGGTCCTAGTAGATTGCAAGGAACTTAAGAGTCTTCCAAGCAGCATTCCTATGAAATGTCTCAAAACCCTTAATCTTTCCGGCTGCTCGAGTCTTGAGATGTTTCCAGAGATTTCAGAAGTTATGGAGAAACTATCATGGCTTAATTTGTCCGGGTCAAAAATTAAAGAACTGCCCTCGTCAATTAATAATCTCACGGGGTTGAATCATTTGGTCCTAGAAGATTGCAAGGAACTTCAGAGTCTTCCATACAACATTCGTATGAAGTCTCTCAATACCCTTAATCTTTCCAGCTGCTCGAGTCTTGAGATGTTTCCAGAGATTTCAGAAGTTATGGAGAAACTATCATGGGTTAATTTTTCCGGGTCAAAAATTAAAGAACTGCCCTCGTCAATTAATAATCTCACGGGGTTGAATCATTTGGTCCTAGAAGATTGCAAGGAACTTCAGAGTCTTCCAAGCAGCATTCGTATGAAATCTCTCAGTACCCTTAATCTTTCCGGCTGCTCGAGTCTTGAGATGTTTCCAGAGATTTCAGAAGTTATGGAGAAACTATCATGGCTTAATTTGTCCGGGTCACAAATTAAAGAACTACCCTCGTCAATTAATAATCTCACGGGGTTGAATCATTTGGTCTTAGAAGATTGCAAGGAACTTAAGAGTCTTCCAAGCAGCATTCGTATGAAATCTCTCGATACCCTTAATCTTTCCGGCTGCTCGAGTCTTGAGATGTTTCCAGAGATTTCAGAAGTTATGGAGAAACTATCATGGCTTAATTTGTCCGGGTCAAAAATTAAAGAACTGCCCTCGTCAATTAATAATCTCACGGGGTTGAATCATTTGGTCCTAGAAGATTGCAAGGAACTGAAGAGTCTTCCCAGCACCATTCCTATGAAATCTCTCAATACCCTTAATCTTTCTGGCTGCTCGAGTCTTGAGATGTTTCCAGAGATTTCAGAAGTTATGGAGAAACTATCATGGCTTAATTTGTCCGGGTCAAAAATTAAAGAACTGCCATCGTCAATTAATAATCTCACGGGGTTGAATCATTTGGTCCTAGAAGATTGCAAGGAACTTAAGAGTCTTCCAAGCAGCATTCGTATGAAATCTCTCAATACCCTTAATCTTTCCGGCTGCTCGAGTCTTGAGATATTTCCAGAGATTTCAGAAGTTATGGAGAAACTATCATGGTTCAATTTGTCCGGGTCAAAAATTAAAGAACTGCCCTCGTCAATTAATAATCTCACGGGGTTGAATCATTTGGTCCTAGTAGATTGCAAGGAACTTAAGAGTTTTCCAAGCAGCATTCGTATGAAATCTCTCAATACCCTTAATCTTTCCGGCTGCTCGAGTCTTGAGACGTTTCCAGATATTTCAGAAGTTATGGAGAAACTATCATGGCTTAATTTGTCCGGGTCAAAAATTAAAGAACTGCCCTCGTCAATTAATAATCTCACGGGGTTGAATCATTTGGTCCTAGTAGATTGCAAGGAACTGAAGAGTCTTCCGAGCAGTATTCGTATGAAATTTCTCAATACCCTTAATCTTTCCGGCTGCTCGAGTCTTGAGATGTTTCCAGAGATTTCAGAAGTTATGGAGAAACTATCATGGCTTAATTTGTCCGGGTCAAAAATTAAAGAACTGCCCTCGTCAATTAATAATCTCACGGGGTTGAATCATTTGGTCCTAGTAGATTGCAAAGAACTTAAGAATCTTCCAAGTAGCATTGGGTTTTGGGTAAAACCCAAAACAGAGCCGTTGTGAAAATTTGACGCGTGTACAACCCCAATTTCCAGGTAATCAAAATTCAAACCCAATTTTTGATTCGGAATTAAATTTCAGAATTGGCAGATTATATTACCTGAAAAAAGAAAGAAATTTCAGGGGTTTTGGGTGCACTCTGCTGATAAACACATGGATACGAAGCTCTGTTTTGAAGCAATCAGTTGGTCACTACGCCACATGCGGCGGCCTTCAATTGGTTATTGTGATTATGTCGCGAGGGAGAGGTACATATCTCTACATGTGGAATACATTTGATACCTGTCTTTTCGTTCGGGTTTGGCGGGTTTCAATTGCTTATGCGCTGCTTTTCTTTCTTGTACTTTAGATTTGTGCCTGTGCAGAAACTGTGAAGCTATTGCTGTCTATGTCAATTCCCGTTGCTAACTTGCTAATGCCACCGGTGCTCCTCCAATTTGGATGAAAGGTACTTTGCTTTCCTTCTATCTTAACTTTTCTATATCTTAAATTATTACAAAAGAGACCAGTAACAAGCTAGCCCCTTTTAGGCTAATTGGTACCCAACTGCTTGCCATGAATCTGGACCTTTGTCTTAAATTATTACAAAAAAGTGCAGACCGTATGAGTGTCAACTTTTAACCTTTGTTTTAGTTTTAACTTTGATTTTTTTTTTTCAAATCTTCAGGCTGTTTATCTTATTTTTGCTAGCATTTTTTGGAGTCCTATATCCGTATAATCGTGGAGCTTTGTTCACTGCTCTTGTCTTTATATGTACTACTACAATCATCGGTGGGTACACTGCTGCTTTCCACAATCAATTTTCAGTGACAGGATGGGTAATTTTCTTTGTCATATTGTTCTATGATTAGTCTTTCTATCAGAGAGCTTTCTCCCTCGATTGAACGACTTCAGGGGCTTGAGTATTTAAATCTGAGAAACTGCAAAAGCCTTGTACATCTTCCCAACCCTCTGTAATTCGGAACACCTTGTAGCTTAGGTAGTTATAAAATTTTGAACATCTTTTCCTGTGAAGGAAATCAAAGAGAAATGAAGCCTTTCTCGCTGAGTGAAACCATGGTATTCAATACAGCAAACAAGACCTGCTACACAGCCTTTCTCGCTTGTTGGTTTTCTAAGCCAGTTAGCCAGTCTAGATTTCATGTGTTACTCACACATTTGTCTAGCCAATTTCTCCAGTTATTGGTAGAGGACATTTGTTAACAAAGCTTGACCGACTCTTCTTGACCCATCCCCAAATACTCAAAGTCCCCTCAGCGACCAATGTCTGTCTCTCACAGTCACTCACAATTCCACCGAATGAATAAGTTGCCACGACTCAATCCACCGCAAGCACACCTCAACACCCCTGACCCATCCTCACCATGAACCCCAAAGTTTCACTTTTACTTTTTTGGAATTGAAGTGCTGTTCACTTCTTTGGAGTTGTTCTTTTATTAATTATTGTTTTGAAATGAATGAAGAGAGGAGGTTGATGGTGTGTATTCGAAGCAATTCAACTTGCCCTGATCCCAGCTCCTTGTGTTTGGAAGGAACTTCGGATTGCAGCGTTGTTGCTGGGAAGATTGTGATTTGTGACAGTGGTATTAGGCCTAGAGTGCAGGAGTGGTATTAGGACATGAGGTGAAAGATGCAGGAGCCATTGGTATGATTTTGGCAAACACAACTGCTAATGCAGAACAAATGTCTCTTTTTTGACTCTTCATACAACTGTCACTAACGTTGGCTCCGCGGTTTCGAATTACCACTCCGTAGTTTCGCAGTTCAAAGGTGCTTAGTGAAAGTCGATATAATGCTGGCGTCGACTCCGATATTCGAAAACAGGAAGTTTTGCAGAAGCCTTGAACGTCGTTATAATGCTGGCGTGAAGGAGGTGCAGGTTGCTTAATAATCTAGAACAGTCATCATGGCGTGAAGGAGGCACAAAATAATCTAGAACAGTCATCATGGCTGGACCATATACCAACAACATCTTCCTATAGAAACGCTTTTGATTCCGACTCCAACAAAGCAAATGAGTCTCCTTTATACTTTGTGCGGGTTGCTTAATCGTTTAATGCTTTTGCCTGATCAGAGGAATGTAGGAACGCTTTTGATTCCGAGATTAAAAGGTACCTACTTTTGTTCAAACGGGACTGATGGTATTGCCCATTTCACATTTCACATGATTTTCATCCCTCCCGTACTCCAACCACTTCACATGATTCACCCGCCCTCGTCCTCTTCCTCTCCACGTCCTCTCCCTCAACCTCACCGCCGCTCCCGGCCACGACTCAAGCTTCCTGGTGGTGCCGGACTCGACAGCTTTCTGGGGGATCGGTTTTGATGGCGATTCGGCATAGCAGTTAATGCAATGGATGTCAAATCAGAACACCATGATTCTCCCAACATAGGCTTCATGGGGGACTTGAATTGAATTCACAGTCAGCCACTGCCTCACAAATCGGCTTGGCTTTCGCAGATAGCACAACCACCAACAGCGGACGGGAGTAACTGGGAAAGCGGAGAAGGAGGACTTGAACGAGAGAGAGAGAGAGCAGGTCGTATCTGAGATTTTGGGGCCTATACGAAATTTATAAATGGCCCTTCTCAAGACAGTCGTAAAAAAAAGGTGCTTCTTTGAATTTGTGCATTTCACGGTTAGATACAATAAATGATGGAGTTTTAACGAAAAATCCGCAGGACTGTTCGTTTTAACAAAAAATTGTATTTTTACACTAAAAAGTTAATTCTGATACTATTCACTTTACGCTTTATATTGTCTTTATCGTTAAAACTCAAAATTTTTAGATCATTTTCATTAGTTTTCCTTAAATAATAAGGGTCTTCTATCTTGTTATATACATGGCAATGTGGCCAACTTGCTTCTCCAAATGACAAAAAGAAGTTTGCGGATTTGGCAACTGCATTTTCGCTTCGTTAATGAATTCAATGGTAGACATGGTCGGCTGAGCAAGAGTGTCTTCCAAATTCAATTTCTTCTCTTGAGCCATGAAACCTGGGGGAGACTTTTGCACATTCTGAATATTGTTTCATGACAAATTGAGGTGCCTCCTCCATTCCTGATTATAAGTGTTAGAGTATGGATCATTACCAGAACGCGTTACATATATAAGCATTCACCATGTTTGCTTGTTCTTGCATGAACTCTAGAAAATGGACTCCTTAAGGATAAGAGATGGTGGGATGACCAGGAACTGTAGATATGGAGCATATCTTTTGTGTTGCTATTCTCCCATTCAAGACTAACAACTTGCTTGTAATAGCGCCAATTTGCGCCTTTGAAGCAGAAGCGTTGTAATTACCAAGTTCAAATAATCCGGCCATTAATCTTCAAGAAATAGTGGGAAAAAGAAAGAGTGAACGCACCAAACTGTTTTTTTGTTTGTCAAAACATAAATTTTGTTAGATTAGATATTAGACTAGTCATTAATGGAGTTTAAACTCACGTCATCATGTAAAAGCTTACTCTTTTTCACCACTATTGTAAAAGGCCATTCGCTGTGAATGCATCAAACTAAAATAAATAAAAGATAAAAAAGAACCAAAAAAAAAAGGAGAAAAATCACAAAAATAATTTAAATTAAACTTGATCCGATGCTTTGGAATGCAATATATCCCCGTGTATGTATCTTAGGCGCACAAGTAACGTGCTACGGAAGTTTATACTCAAAAGTTTCTCCCATGCGCAATGTCCCAAATTGTGAAATTGACCTACAGCAGGCCCCATTAACCTTTGGGCTAATATGAATCATCTTAAGGGCCTAACTTTCCGACCCACTAGAGTGCAACCAAAGCCCATCATCCAACAATACGAATTTACTTTTATTTTTCTTTTTTACCAATTTATCCTCATATGAAATTATAAACAATATAAAATCAACGGGCAATAAAACTCCCTTGTACTGCCGAATTAAGAAAAAGAAAAGTCCCCCATATGCTTCCTTGAAATTCCTAAGAATTATATTAGAGCACCACTTAATATTTAATACGATGATCTAATATATTGTGGTTTTAAGTTCGAATTTTGAAAATGGCTCAATGATTTAATGCAGATCTTGAATAACTGTTTCTCTAATCACTTTTGTTTATTGTGTGATTATTGTCATGCTATCTCTCATATGCTTCCATATTTCAACTTAAAATAATGCATTATTGATAGTTGAATAGTAATTGTTATAATCTATTGTATAGTATTTGTCCTTTCGCGTCTTTCTTTCCTCATTTCCTCTCTCTTTCACTGCACCTTCCCGGCCGGTGGTATGTCGTTTTTCAAGTCCATAGGCAAACCTTATTATATTATAAATTTTTGTTTTCATGGACTGAAGGAGCTCCATTGACATGGGTTTTGATATTTCAACATCATCCCTTCACTACCACTGCCATTTTTTTTATACATATATCTTTACATATAAAGTCGGGAGGCACTTTTGGGATCACCGACTTTACCAACAAATTTAGGATAGAAATGCCCCATAAACAAAAAAGTTCAAAAGCAATTCAAAATAATGAAAGGGTATTTTCATCATATAAATAGTGTTTTTTCATAATTAATTACTTTTGTATAGTTTTTTTTTTTAAATTTATAAAATTAGTACCTCACAATAGGTAGCAATAATGTGATTCAATTAGTTGTTTATTAAATATTATTTTCTCTATTTTTAAACACGTTCAAAATATCTTAACACGCGTGTAGTGCCATTTATAAAAAAAGTCTTTCACATATGTATAATAATACATTTAAAACGTTTAAGCCGATTGTAGCATGCCATGATTCAAAAAATGTCTTATGTATATGCTCACCGTTATAAAAAAAAAGTCTTTCGCACGCGGATAATACTACATTTAAAACGTGGAAGTCTCACGTGGCACGCCGTGATTCAAAAAATATATTCTGCACTCGCGTGAGCACGTGCATGAAGATTAGTTTTCTCTAAACACAACCACCGCCATTATTTTGGGTGCCTGTTTATATCGAATTTGGATCCTCTCTAGATCCTCTTTGTGAGGATCTCAGGGATCCATAATCATGTCAATCATTTTAATTTTTTTTATTTAAAATTAAACGTACCTGAAGAAAAGTGATCGTCCGATGTAAAATGAATGGACATAACTAATGTATTCCTAGGATCCTTGCAAAGAGGATTTGAATCCGGTTGGGTTTATATCATATTGATAATAAACAAATGTTCCGATGCACGCTAACACATGACTTCAGTACGTGGAACCAATTTTTATTTTTTTATCCTTCCATCCAATTGATGTTTGACTGAAAATTTAACTTTTGGATCAAATTTGCTAACAGTCTTCATCACGAGAGTTAATTTGAATCCTATTTCTTTTACTATGAGGACTATCTTTGGAATACCCTATCACTACGGAAACCATTAATCTGATTTGACCTTTTTAAAATACAACTCATTAGCCTCCTCTGCTTCTTGCTGCGATGTTCAAGTTTTGTTCCAACCTTAGAACACTAGCGAAACAAATACGTGTAGTGGAAAGGTAGATTATGCAAGTTCAAATCTAGTCAATATTTTTTTTTTTCACAAGCAATTTGTGAAGTTCTAGTAGTTTTGTGGCTAAAATCATATACATCAAAGATTTTAGAGTAGTACTGTTACTACAGCAACATCAAATTAGAAGCCAAACAACTATTGATCTTTTGTTTTACGCAGATGATGTTATTGGATATGGTACATATGTGAGATACTTACACTTAACCGACAATATTTCTATTCACCCTAACTCACTCTTAATGTAAATAGGGAGATCGGGATATATTTCCAGTTTACAAAGAAGTTGTTGGGTAGGCAAGTGTAGATTCAACATGGTACTTTGACACTTTCTTCACATTTTTTTAGGTCAAAACCAAAGTGCACAGATTTCTTTTACACTGAAATTTCTTGAAAGAAGATACGAAAATACAAAAATAAATTTTCCTTTTTGGCATGAATTGATTCTATATGTGTTTTATTAATGCTTTTGAATAAACAAATTTTCTATGTAAAGTAATGCATTTGATATTCCAGAGGCTTTGATACTATTATATAGTTATTTGGATTTACCATGATAAGATATGGTGGAATTAAAAATTAGGCATACAAAATGTGTTTGAAAAGTCGTCTCAAACGCGTCATATCCGAAATTATTAAGAGAAGACGAGATAATTATGATCGAATAGTGAATGCTCGTGGGCTTTCCAAATAATACTTGCGCATTATGGCCAATTCCACTAAGTCAAATCTGAGCATCTCGTTTAACCGAGAAGCAGTTTCTTCACGTGCTGGCATGCCATGACCATACTTGTTGATCACCGGGAAATTTCATTCCTATTAGTCCTAGCGGTTGCGACAAAAATTACATTGGTAATTGCTTGCAGGCACCAACCTGTAAAAACTGCAGTTTTTACATTGGTAAGAGTTTGCTGGCACCAAGTGATTCTGTAGCATGCAGGGGACAAGCATCTAACCAGCAGCAACATATCAGACTCGGTTTGGAGGCTTGGCGTGGAAGGACGGAGTTCACAGGGTAATTACTTTATGCTACAACTTTAATCCTAATGCGCATTTTGCAATAGTTTTAGCGGTGGAGCCTAAATATGGTCAATAAAATTCTCTTGTGCTGCCAAATTAAATAAAATAATAATAATAATCCACCTCTATATGTCTCTTTGAAATTTCTAAGAATTATGTTAGAACACCGCTTAATAGTTAATACAAGATTTAATAGATCGTGGTCTTAAGTTCGAATCTTGTAAATGGTTGAATCATTTACAGCCGATCTTGAATAATTGTTTTTAACTATCCTTTCACATTTGGATTTTTCCTCTAATCACTTTTGTTTTTGTTTTTGTTATTTTTTATTTTTTTTAAAAAAGGGGACAATTGGAGGTGAACCACGGTTATCTAGCCCTTCTGGGCCTAGAAGATGCTAGTTGAGAATTGCATCCTATCCGTGACTACAATCAAGCAAATTCACAACTTATTTAACATTTCCTTATCTTAACATTTCTATATCTGCAAATTACAGTGAATGAGCCCTCTGGATTTGTATTAATGTCCAAATGACTATATTAGTCTAGATTAGATTAATTTTGAAGCATAAGTGGGGTATAAATAATGATGGGCTTTTCAATTGCTTGTCATATGCATGATCAGCACACTCTGCATTCATCAGTAGCTTAGGTAGTTATAAAGTTTTAAGCACCTTTTCCTGTGAAGGAAATCAAAGAGAAATGAAGCCTTTCTCGCTGAGTGAAACCATGGTATTCAATACAGCAAACAAGACCTGCTACACAGCCTTTCTCGCTTGTTGGTTTTCTTAGCCAGTTAGCCAGTCTAGATTTCATGTGTTAGACTCACACATTTATCTAGCCAATTTCTCCAGTTATTGGTAGAGGACATTTGTTAACAAAGCTTTGCCTGACTCTCCTCGACTTCTCCCCAAATACTCAAAGTCCCCACTGCAACCAATGTCTGCATCTCACATGGTCACTCACAATTCCACGGAACGAATAAGTTGCCGCTACTCAATCCACTGCCTCACTTCTTTGGAGTTGTCCTTTTATCTATTATTTTTTTGAATTGAATGAAGAGAGGAGGTTGATAGTGTATATGGGAAGCAACAGTGGTATTAGGCCCAGAGTGCAGGAGGGACAGGTGGTGAAAGATGCAGGAGCCATTGGTATGATTTTGGCAAACACAGCTGCAAATGGAGAACAAACATTTCTGTTTTGACACTTCATACAACTGTCACTAATGTCGGCCCTGCATTTCGAATTTCCACGCCATAGTTTTGCCGTTCAAAGGTTCTTATGTGAAAGTCAAGCCTTGGAGGCTGAACTGCACCAGAACAAATAAAAAGCTCTCTTATAAGATCACCTCCGTTATGAAAATCCGGCAAGCAGTTTCAGAATTGGAGGGTTGGTGTGGAAGGATGGAGCGCACAGGGTGAGAAGTCCTACTCTGGTTGCTTTTTCAAGTGAACCATTTATTAACGCTTGGGTTCCAGCAATTGGAAAGAAGGGAATTGTATTAGTACAAAGACCCTTGACCCTCCCTATCACAAAAACTTTTAGTATTGTGGTGATCATATTTCAGAGCTTTTGTTCACTGATGCTTCCTCGAAAAAGATGATAGTGACCTCCATTGTTACCTTACTGAAAGCTCCATTATATGCTCTGTGATACCGTTGGATTGGTCTTGTTGGTACTTACCGTTAGATTACTCGGTATGTCAGTTGTAGTGAATCTAGTGATTCATGTTTGTATTTCTACCTTTTCATGTTTCACCTGTAAAGTAGTAGTAGTAGTCTTTCGTAACATTGTAAAATAGTTGGATAAGTTGAGTGTATAGATAAGTTGAGTGTTTCTGGACTAACAGAATGGTAATCAATTGGCTTTGGATTACCAAGTGAGAGTTCTTTGGATTAAAGCTTGGATGTGTAGTTTTGCTTTTTATTTTTTATTTTCTCATGATTATTACGTCATAGTGCTTGTGCAACAGCTGACAGTTTGACAAAATGCTGAACACAATTCTTTGGTTTTCCATGTTCGTGTGCTCATGCTCTCTTTCACTTAATCAGGATGGAAATTGAAGCGAGCACATTGGGCTTCTGTTGGTTGCTTCTGCTGGATATGATCCCAGAGTGTGTCCAATTGTGTACGAGAAGTTGAGCAAGGTTATGGTGACTCTGCACTCGGAGACTATCTTTCAGGGAATAAGAGCTGAATTGCTGGCGCAAGCTAAGATCATGGAAGAAGCACTCGCAATATACCGGTATGTAAGAGCAGGACGCGGGGTTGAAGAGTTTCTTTAGGACAGTCAGTAATCACTCTGCAACTACTGACATAGTTCAATTTTTTCACTTTTTTTCTTCTGAATATGATTCCTGTACTTGTATGTAACTCTTGCATTTGCTAGTACAAGTTATTGCAGGAGAAGAAAAAGAATATGCAACTTACATATGATTCCGTTGGATATATGTAACTCATATATGATCTTTAAATATATATTACTCATGTATGATCTTTAAATATATGAATAATTTTTAAATATGTGATCTTTAATTAGATGATTCCGTTAATCATTAGATATGACACATGTGAGATGTTTACACTTAACCGAATATATTTTTGCGGTCATCCTAACTCACCCTTCATGTGAATAGGAAGATTGTGATATATTTTCGGTTTACAACAAAGTTGTTGGGTAGGCAAGTGTGGATTCAACATCGTACTTTAACCCCTTTCTTCGCATTTTATTGGGTCAAAAAATCAAAAGTCTGCACATCCCTTTCGCACCGAAATTTCCTTGAAGATCCAAATGCAAGTACACCGGCGCCGCGTTTTGCGTCTTCGATTTGGTGACTTTAGATTTTTACTGAAAGATGGTCAATCTTTTACCGTGGGATGGTGAATGCTATTGGGCTTTGGGCCATACACATTTCCACAAAGTCAAATTTCCCTTCACACTGAATTATCCTTTGTCCTTCATATCTACCAGACCATTTTCGGTGATCCAATTTGTAGATAAATTGAGTATTTATGTTCCAACATTCCTCTTACTCTTGGCTGCTCGATCATCGCCGACCAGGTGCGATTAATGGCTTCTTCTTCCTTCTTCCTTCTTCTTCTTCTTCTTCTTCTTCTTCTTCTTCGTCTTCTTCTTTTTGTCAGGGGCTTTGTCAGCCATCACTACAAAGCTCTGCGTCAGAAACCAATCAACACCTCTTCTTCTTCCTCCTCCTCCTCCTCCTCTGGTCTTCGTTGGAAATACGATGTGTTCATCAATTTCAGAGGGGAAGACACTCGCAGGGGCTTCGTCAGCCATCTATACAGAGCTCTGCGTCAGAAACCACTCAACACCTTCATTGATACCGAAGAGCTCAGAAAAGGCGACCGCCTTTCCGAGCTCCTGACAGCGATTCGAGAGTCAAGGCTTTCGATTGTAGTTTTCTCTCAAAACTATGCTTCTTCCACTTGGTGCTTGAAGGAACTCGTCGAAATTTTGGAATGCAACGATAACAAGAACCAAATTGTGGTCCCCATTTTCTACGAAGTCGATCCATCCGATATTCGTAAACTCAAAGGAAGTTTCGCCGAAGCTTTTGATCGGCATGAAGGCCATTCTAACGCCAACATGGAGGAGGTGCGGAGCTGGAGGTCCGCCCTTACTCGAGCCACCAATTTATCCGGCTGGGATTCGCGAAACTATGAGTAATTTCTAATTTGCTTAACTTTCCTATTAATTTTTGTAACGTTTAGGCGTCATTTGATAAATATTTTGTTTTAAGTTTTCAATTTTCAATTTTTAGTTATTTAAAATTAATAGATGAAAACTTGTGATGGGGCTACAATGGTATGAAATACTCAATACAAGTTTTATGCAAAACAATTGTAAAGACCCATTAGATCTCTATATGCAAGATCTAACTCGTAATTTTTGAGACTATTATATACCATGAAAGAAAAATAGAAAAACTCATCTGATAACTACTTTTAATGAAACTAAAAATTCATGGCCAAAATTTTAAAATTCAAAATTTAGATTTAAAAAAAAAAAATTGAAAACAAACTATCAAAACGACCTGTTAATTATTATGTGGTGATACTATTATAATATTTTTAAAATTTGACAGGGATGATGCAAAGCTTATTGAGGAAATTGTAGAATATGTTTACAGGAAATTGATCCACATCTCATCAACATCAAGTAAAGCTAAAGGTTTGATTGAAATGGATTCTCATATGCATGAAATGCATTTATTATTACATCCTCCTGGGGTTGAAACAAATGATGTTCGTGTTGTTGGAATATGGGGTATGGGTGGTTTAGGCAAAACAACCATTGCTAGAGCTGTCCGTGATGAAATCGCTAGTCAATTTGAAGCTTGTTGCTTTCTTGAAAATGTCAAGGAGGGTTTCATGAAGCATGGCCAACTACATATGCAGACACAACTTCTATCGAGTATCTCAAACAACAAGGTGGGGAGTTCCAACATTTTGGATAAAGGTTTCCAGGTGATGTTAAATAGTCTAGGTCAGAGAAAGGTCCTTATTGTTATTGATGATGTGGACAAATTAGAACAAATTGAAGCTTTACTTGGAGAGCAACATTCTTCGTTTGGTGGTGGAAGTAGAATTATTATAACAACTAGAGATTTGGAATTACTAAGCGGAACTGATGCGATATATAAGCCCAAGATTTTCAGTGATCCCGGAGCTCTAGAACTCTTTAGGCAGTACGCCTTCAAAACAAACCAACCCACTACAGATTATGATGATCTCACGAGGCGTGCTGTAAAATATGCTCAAGGTCTACCTCTAGCACTCAAAGTCTTGGGAGCTTTTCTTGATAACAAAACCATACGTGAGTGGAAAGGTGTCTTAGAAAAATTAAAGGAAGTCCCGCAAAGAAGGATTAATGATGTTCTTAGAACAAGCTTCGACGGACTAGATCATAAAGAGAAGAACATCTTTCTAGATATTGCATGTTTTTTAAAAGGAATGAAAGAAGACTATGCAACCGAAATCCTGGACAGTTGTGGTTTCTATCCTCTTGCTGGTATAAGAGTTCTAATTGATCGAGCTCTCATAACTGTCTCAGAGGAGGGGAAACTGGAGATGCATGATTTACTAGAGGAAATGGGTCGGGAAATCGTCCTTCAAGAATCTATCGAAGAGCCTAGGAGACGAAGTAGGTTGTGGAGTTATGAAGATGTTCATCATGTGCTAACTCAAAATATGGTGAGAAATATTTTTCTTATACAATTGTTAGTAGAAAGCTTCAACTTTTGATCAAAATCTATTTCTCAGGCCCGTTTGATAATCATTTTTGTTTTCAATTTTTAATTTTTAGTTTTCATTTTTCATTTTTTAATAAAATTGAAAACAATTACCAAAGTTGAAAACTAAAAACGAATGATTATCAAACTGCTCCTTAAGAAAAAAACATTAATTTCATAATGTAAACTACGGTTCTGTGTTTTTTCCCTTACTTTGATTTGCACAGGCTACAAAAGCAGTTAAAAGCATAATCCTGGATTTGTCGTGCTCAGATGGGGTATGCTTAAATGCTGAAACTTTTGTTAGTATGACTCAACTAAGACTTCTCAAGATCAGTCATAAGGACCCCATTTTTGAACATGATTACTGCAAACACCACCTGATTGGGCACTTCAAGTTACTTGAGTTGAGGTGTCTCTCCTGGCTTAAATGCCCTCTTATGTCTTTGCCATCCAACTTTCAATTCAAAAATCTTGTTGAACTTGATATGCAAAATAGTCTCATTGACCGACTTTGGGAAGGAACCCAGGTACGTACAATCATTTACATGTATATGTTTCTTCTAAATGTTTGGGTTCTAAGATGTCTTATTAAGTAATGTATGTTTTCCTGAATGTTTTAACAGAAGCTGGAAAAGTTGAAGTTCATTGATTTAAGTGAATGTCTATACCTTAAGGAAACCCCTGACTTCACAGAGATGCCCAATCTTGAGAGGCTAATTCTTCGATATTGTATAAGATTAGTTGAGGTTCACCCGTCTATTTCGTCTCTTACAAACCTTGGTTTATTGAATCTGCATGGGTGCATAGAACTTAAGATTCTCCCGAGCATCATGCGTATGAAATCTCTTAAAACCCTTGTTCTTTCTAACTGCCAGAGTCTTGAGATGTTTCCAGAGATTTCAGAAGTTATGGAGGAACTATCGTGGCTTAGTTTGTCTAGGTCAAAAATTAAAGAACTGCCCTCATCAATTAATAATCTCACGGGGTTGAGTTGTTTGGTCCTGGACAATTGCAAGGAACTTAAGAGTCTTCCAAACAACATTTGTCAACTCAAGTCCCTTGAATATCTCTATCTTTCTGATTGCACAAAATTTGATGTGTTTCCAAGCATTGAAGAAAATATGGTAGGATTAAGAGAGCTTCACTTGGATGGAACATCTATCGAAAGGCGTAAGTAATTAGCTGAGATCCTGAATTTGGATGTTCTTCTGATTTCAGTCAAACATAAATGGATTATATTGCAATGTTATACCTTTCCAACCATTCTCGACACATGAATGAAATTTTCTTGTTCTTTTTCCCAGATTTCTTCTAGGTTTCTCAAACCAGATAAGAAAACTGTAGATCTTGTTGGTAATGAAAAAATGAAGGCCAGCACCAATGTTAGGCATATTGTTCTTCCTTGCTCCAGTTCAGCAAGGTCGCAACTTATTCCTGATATCATACGTTGTTATAGCAGGTTGGTTGTTTTTTAGTCAACAACTACCGTATGCTTTCTATTTTTACTTTTGGGTATAATTTATCTGGGAGTCATTTTTCATGTACTTGACATGTTTGTTTCCGACTCAGTGGAGGACGCACAATTATTTTCACCGAGACAAAGGAAGCTGCTTCTGGACTTGCTGAGGCGTTGCCTGGAGCCCGAGCTTTGCACGGGGACATACAGCAGGGCCAGCGTGAGGTAAGTTGTTTGACTATGCAACACCAACCCCCTCAAAAAATCCTCCTCCTTTCCCCTTGTACAACTGTACTGAAACATGATATTTCAGGCTCTTTTCCTTTCATAGAGATATTTCTTTTTTAAAAAGCTAATTTGTTTTTCTAATGGCAGAGTTTTTTGTTTCCCTTCCTGTTTTGTGTTTTCAGGTCACACTTGCTGGTTTCAGGTCTGGCAAGTTTTTGACATTAGTCGCCACAAATGTGGCAGCGCGTGGACTGGATATCAATGATGTTCAATTAATTATCCAGGTTTGTCAGTGTGCATATGGGTGAACTTTGTAATATTTGTCAATCTGTATACTTACTTTTATTGTTTATGGTTCAGTGTGAACCCCCACGTGATGTAGAAGACTATATCCATCGATCTGGACGCACAGGGAGAGCAGGTAAATCTTGAAAACTGTTGCATTTCTTGTTTATGCGTATTTTATTAAACAATGTCTTTGATTTTATGTTGTACTTAGAGGTGCGTCCATATTTTCAGGAAATTCTGGAGTTGCTGTCATGCTTTATGATCCAAGAAGGTCAAATTTTTCAAAAATCGAGAGGGAATCGGGGGTGAAATTTGAACACATTTCTGCTCCTCAGCCACTTGATATAGCTAAAGCAGTAGGTCAAGATGCAGCAGAAATGATAACCAAAATTTCTGATGGGTATGCTTGACAGTGCAATGCTTGTTACATTTTGATGCAATCATTTTCATATATTAATACAATTTTCATTTCAGTGTAATTCCTGCTTTCAAGTCTGTTGCCGAGGAGCTACTTAACACCTCTGGCCTATCTGCAGTAGATCTACTGGCTAAAGCACTAGCTAAAGCTGCTGTAAGATTTGCTGTTTCTTTCCCACTTGATGAGTTCTTTAAATTAATTAATGTAAATGTTTGTTTATCAGTTTATGAGTTGCTTATTGTATGGTGTGCAGGGCTACACTGAGATAAAGAAAAGATCACTTCTTAGCTCTATGGAGGACCATGTCACAGTACTTCTCGAGGCTGGAAAGCCCATTTATTCACCGTCGTAAGCAATTATCATTAGTGTCCTTGTGTTCTAAACCAATATGTCTGATGTTCTTGGTTTTATTTTCACATGTGGATACAAGCACTAGCTAATAATGGGAACAATATTGATTGTGTTCTGAAGGAGTCACATTGTGCTTTGTGATTCCAAGATATTATGAGCTGTTTAAATATAGATATCCGTAATTATATCTTCTATCGATTTAGTTTGTGTTATTGTTTAAGAGTTAGCGTTTTGATTTGTTGATCATATTTGATCCATAATTTCCACCAACCTTGTCTCATTTTTGCTTTTGGTGTCTTGAGGAGATTCTTGCCCGAGGAGAAGGTTGAGTCAGTGAAGGGTATGGCACTAACAGCTGATGGAAATGGTGCAGTTTTTTATGTGGCATCTGAAGATTTGGATTTGTTTCTTGCTGGTATTCTTCTTTTCATATCTCTATACGATCATGTGTTACATTCTCATCAAGCACTATAGTTTATTAAGATTCTACCAGAAACTGATGTCATTCATTTTGTTGTATTGATGTCTTGAAGTCTGATTATTGTGGTCGTATCATGTGGGGTGCAGGTCAGGAAAATGCAGCTAATGTGAGCATAACGGTGTTGAAATCACTGCCTTATTTACAAGAAAAAGAATCAAGGAATACAAGATTTGGCGGTGGTGGAAGGTTTGGCCGTGGAGGTGGAGGAGGTTTTCGAAATGATAGGTATTCCAACAACCGATCCGGTGGTGGTGGTGGTGGTGGGAGAGGTCGCGGCAACAGATGGTGAAGCGCAATATAAACCGGCTCCTTTCAAGTAAGCTGTTGTGAGCAACAAATAATATCAAAAGGTTGCATTCACGATGGTTTCAACTGGCGGAGGTACTAAAAGCCAGTTGATCCGAGTGGAGGGGCAGGAGTATATTTTGACAATGAAGAAAATATTCGGTAGGTTGAGGGCCTCGATTGGCTCGTTACAACGACATCATTTTTTCTGCGTATAGCATATTCTGTCAACCCCCTTCTCTATTTTATCGTTCATTTTTGTTCAATTTTCTTTTTCAGCATTTTTTTTATGCTCTTAATAGTGTAAGAACACTTTTTTGGAGTGTAAGAACACTATTTTATCGTTCAATTTTGTTCAGTTTCGTTTTTCTTTTCTTCTAATGTTATTTGTGCTGTACGTATACTTTACAGTGCTGATAACAATTTTCTGATTAACGCTGATATAATCGTGCGAGCATAAATGCCATTATAAAATTGTATTCTCTACATGTAATTGAAACCCTGTATTTCGTGTTCTATGCTTTTGTATGCTCTGAACGTAGAACTGTAGAACTACTACCAATCATCGGATGGTTGCCTTTTTAGAATGAATCTAAATACAGCTGTATAGGCTTAGGAGAGAGTTGATCAGTGAAGGGTATGAGGCCAACTGATGAAAATGGTGTGCAATGTAATATCGTGACAACGGAAGAAAATGGTGCAATGTAATACCGTATTATTAATAAGAGACGTGACATTTTATGTTGTATTTTTCAATAATATTAATAACTATTCGGTGTTACGTTGGTATTCTGACAAAGTGATCTTCTAAACTACATGAATATGAACTAGAATACAAGGGAAAATGTCAAATTGTGCAAGTTCAAATCTAGTCATTATTATTTTTTAAGTTCAAAAGCAATTTGTGAAGTTCTAGTAGTTTTGTAGTTAAAAGCATATACATACAAATTTTCAGAGTAATACAATTACTACTGTGACTTCAAATTAGAAGCTAAACAACTTTTAATCTCCTATTTTTCACTAACAATGTCATTGCATATGGTACATATGTGAGATGCTTACGTTTCGAGATATTTCCGATTACCCTCACACTTCCGGATATTTCCAATCACCCTATCTTACCCTTACTAAGAAGTTATTCCAACAAGATTCTTTCCGGATCCTATTTGTGTGAATTCCTAAAATTCATGAATCGTGTTCGTTCATCATAAATCGTGCAGATAGTTTTTTTCATATACTGTTTGTGTTCAATTTTAAATAAAATAATTTTTAACCGTATTATATACGATAAACGAAAACAATTTACGAATTTCCATAATTCTTACAAAAGGATCCAGAGAGTATCCGGATTCAGAAGTTAATTGGGTGGGCAAATGTAGATTCAACGTACGACTTTGACCTAGCAGTCCCCACACGCAAAGCTGCTAACTAAACCACCCCTTCCTCGCATTTTCTTCACCCCATATTTTGGTCCTGACTCAAGAGCAAAATATGCAGATTCCTTTCACACTGAACTTTCTAGGAAGGATTAGTGAAAACTGATAAAGCATAATTGTCCTTTGTCCTTTATCGTTTCAACCTATTTATATCATATTGCATTATAAACAAACGTTACAATGCACGCTAACAAATGACTTCAGCACACGGACCCAAATTTTTTATCCTTGCATTTAACTGATATTTGATGGAAAATTAACTTTTTGATTAATCTTGCTAATGGTAAGGTTTGAATTCTAATTATTTTACCACCGAATATTTTTTGAATACCGATTTGACCATTTGAAAATACCACTCATTAACCTCACCTGCTTTTTATATTCAAACACCTATTAATCTCTTATTTTTTGCTAACAATGTCATTGCATATGGTTCATATGTGAGATGTTTACACTTCCAGATATTTCCGATTACCCTCACACTTCTGAATATTTCCAATCACCCTATCTTACACTTACTAAGAAGTTATTCCAACATAATCTTCTCCGGATCCTCTTTCTGAGGATCCCAGAAATTCGTGAATTATGTCTATTTATCATATATTGTGCGATCAATTTTTATCAAATACTGATTGTGTCAAAATTCTTACAAAAAGGATCTATAATCTCCGGATTCAGAACTTATTGGCAAGTGTAGATTCAACGTACTACTTACACCTAGTCCCCACACGCAAAAGCTAAACCACCATTTACCTGCATTTTCTTGGTCAAAAGCAAAATATGAAGATTCCTTTCACACTGAATTTTCCAGGAAGAATAAGTGAAAACTCATAAAGCATAAATTTCCTTTGTCTTTTTTCGTTTCAACCTATTTATATTATATTGTATTATAAACAAATGTTACAATGCACGCTATCAAATGACTTCGGCACGTGGACCCAAATTTTTTAAGAATTTTAAACGATACTGTTCATTTTTAATAAAAAATTATATTTTTACTTTTTTTCTGATACTATTTATTGCACATTTATTTGTCATTTTTTTTATTAAAATTAAAGGTTTATTTTGAATTTTTTGTTAGTTTTCTTAATTTTTTATCCTTGCATCTAATTGATATTTGATGGAAAATTAACTTTTTGATTAATTTGCTAATGGTAAGGTTTGAATCCAAATTATTTTCTGAATACCTTATTACTACAAAGATCATTAATTCGATATGTGACCATTTTAAAATACCACTCATTAGCCTCCCTTGCTTCTTCTTATGTTCAAATCTAGTTTCAACCTTAGAACACGAGCAAAACAATGATATGTAGCGAAACCGTAAATTATGCCAGTTCAAATCTAGTCAATATATTTTATTTCATGAGCAATTTGTGAAGTTCTAGTAGTTTTGTAGCTAAAAGCATGTACCTAAAAGATTTTAGAGTTGTACCGTTAGTACCGTGACATCTGATTAGAAGTCAAACAATCATTAATCTCCCACTTTTCACCCACAATTTCATTAGATATAGCACACATATAAGATGTTTACATTTAATTGGAAATATTTTTCGATCACCTAACTCACTCTTCATGTGAATAGGTAGATCGGTATATATTTCTTTACAAAAAAATCTGTTAGGTAGGCAAGTGTAGATTCAACATTCTACTGTGACCCCTTTCTTGGCATTTTCTTGGGTCGAAAAAGCAAAATTATGCACATCCCTTTCGCACAGAAATTTCCTTGAAGAAGATGTGAAAACACATCAAGCATAATTTCCTTTTTCCCTTTACCCTTTTGCATTGACTTATTGACTTGGTATCGATCAGGCCATTTTCCGGTGATCTAGTTTGTAGATCAATTGAGAATTTCTGCTCTTACATTCCTCTTAATCTTAGCTGCTCGATCATCGCTGATCAGGTGCGATCGATTAATGGCTGTTTCATCCTCTTCTTCTGGCCTTCGTTGGAAATACGGTGTGTTCATCAATTTCAGAGGCAAAGTTCTGCTTTTTTTTTTTTTTTTTTAAATGTTTATCAAACACCTTTTTGAGCTCAATTTTTTTTTATATCCACTTTTTATAAAATCACCTTAGTAGCAAATCTGTACTTAGACTCTTGACTGCAAACATTTAGTGCATTTATGTCTAAAGACATGTGACATGTAATATTAAGAATATTAGTACATCTTTTTTTTTTTTTTTTTAATATTAATTTTTAATGATATTAGATGAACAAATAAACTTTTTATGTAATTAGCAAATTCTTTTTACTACATGTCAATATACAAAAAATCAAAGATCCGAAAACTTAGGTCCCACTTTACAAACTCGCCTAGGCCCAAATTGTCAGGGCCGGTCTTGTCAATTTGCCTGCAAGAAGATTAGTTTCGTTAATTTCCGGGAAGATGTGAAAGCACATAGAGCATAATTTTCTTTTTCCTCATTGACTTCGTATCGAATCAGACCATTTTCCGTTGATCCATTTTGTAGATCAATTGAGTATTTTTGTTCTTACAGTACTAATTACTTTTAGTAATGGGTGCTGCTCGATAATCGTGACCAGGTGCGATCGATTAATGGTGCTTCTTCTTCTTCTTCTTTAATGGGTACTTCTTCTTCTTCAATGGGCACTTCTTCTTCTTCAATGGGTGCTTCTTCTTCTTCTTCTGGTCGATTAATGGGGGGTTCTTCGTATTCTTCTTTTTCTCTTCTTACATTACTTTTAGTCATGGGTGCTGCTCGATCCAGGCGCAATCGATTAATGGGGGGTCGATTAATAGGGGGTTCTCCTCCTCCTCCTCCTCCTCCTCCTCCTCCTGCTTCTCCTCTTCTACTTATATTACTTTTAGTAATGGGTGCCGCTCGATCCAGGTGCGATCGATTAATGGTGGGTTCTTCTTCTTCTTCTTCTTCTTCTTCTTCTTCTGGCCTTGGTTGGAAATACGATGTGTTCATCAATTTCAGAGGGGAAGACACTCGCAGGGGCTTCGTCAGCCATCTGTACAGAGCTCTGCGTCAGAAACCACTCAACACCTTCATTGATACCGAAGATCTCAGAAAAGGCGACCGCCTTTCCGAGCTCCTGACAGCGATTCGAGAGTCAAGGCTTTCGATTGTAGTTTTCTCTCAAAACTATGCTTCTTCCACTTGGTGCTTGAAAGAACTCGTCGAAATCTTGGAATGCAAGGATACCAAGAACCAAATTGTGGTCCCCATTTTCTACGAAGTCGATCCTTCCGATATTCGTAAACTCAAAGGAAGTTTTGCAGAAGCTTTGCCTAAACATGAACGCTGCCATTCTAACGTTGATGTCCAGAGCTGGAGGTCTGCTCTTGCCAGAACTATCGACTTATCCGGTTGGGATTCATCAAAGTATAAGTAAGTTAATTTCTTCACACTCAGGCGCACTTCCTATTAATGTATTTTTACTGTTGAAATATCATAACTAGAAAATGTTTATCTGGTTCGGATTCGCGAATAACTATAACAGTTTAATAACTGCTTTCAGTGAAACTAGGGGGGCAGTCAATTTGGATTTCATAGGATTTTAATAGATTTTGTTAAGGGACAGATTTTAAAGGATTTTAATAGATTCTACAATTCTATATGGATTTTGAAAGATTTATATGAATTTCCATTATAGACTTAAAAACATAAAATCTAGACTTAAAAAACATAAATGAAAACGAAATTGTTTACAAAACGACCCATTAATTATTATTTGTTGTTGTTATTATATTGTTTTTTAAATTTGACAGGGATGATGCAGAGCTTATTGAGAAAATTGTAGAAGATGTTTTTCGGAAATTGATCCCCATCTCATCAACATCAACCAAAGATAATGACTTGGTTCAAATGGATTCTCATATGTGTGAAATGCGTTCATTATTATATCCTCCTGGAGTTGAAACGAATGATGTTCGCGTTGTTGGAATATGGGGTATGGGTGGTTTAGGCAAAACAACCATCGCCAGAGCTGTTTTTGATGAAATCGCTTGTCAGTTTGAAGCTTGTTGCTTTCTTGAAAATGTGAAGGAAGGTTTCATGAAGCATGGCGAACTATATATGCAGACACAACTTCTATCTAGTATCTCGAGCAACAAGGTGGGGAGTTGCGACATATCGGCTAAAGGTTACCAAGTGATGTTAAAAAGCCTTGGTCAAAGAAAAGTTGTTGTTGTTGTTGATGATGTAGACGAATTAGCTCAAATTGAAGCCTTACTCGGAAATAAGGGTTCTTTTGGTGGTGGAAGTAGAATTATTATAACAACTAGAGATTTGCAATTACTAAGCGGAACTGATGCGATATATAAGCCCAAGATTTTCAGTGAACCGGAAGCTCTAGAACTGTTTAGGCGTTACGCCTTTAGAACAAACCAACCCACTAGAGATTATGATGTTCTCACGAGGCGTGCCGTAAATTATGCTCAAGGTCTACCTCTAGCACTCAAAGTCTTGGGAGCTTCTCTTTATAACAAAACCATACGTGAGTGGAAAGGTGTCTTAGAAAAATTAAAGGAAGTCCCACTAGGAAGGATTAATGATGTGCTTAGAACAAGCTTCGATGAACTAGATCGTAAAGAGAAGAACATCTTTCTAGATATTGCATGTTTTTTCAAAGGAATGAAAGAAGACTATGCAACCGAAATCCTGGACAGTTGTGGTTTTTATCCTCATGCTGGTATAGGAGTTCTAATCGATCGAGCTCTCATAACTGTCTCAGTGAATGGGGAACTGGGGATGCATGATTTACTAGAGGAAATGGGTCGAGAAATAGTTCGCCAAGAATCTATCGAAGAGCCTGGGAGACGAAGTAGGTTGTGGAGTTATGAAGATGTTTATCGTGTGTTAACTCAAAATACGGTGAGAAATATTTTTCTTATGCAATTGTTAGTAGAAAGCTTCAACTTTTGATCAAAATCTATTTCTTAGGCCAGTTTGATAACCATTTTTGTTTTCAATTTTTCATTTTTAGTTTTCATTTTTTGATAATTGAAAATTGAAAACAATTACCAGAGTTGAAAACTGAAAACGAAATGATTATCAAACTGCTCCTTAAGAAAAAAACATTAATTTCATAATGTAACTAAGGTTCTCTGTTTTTTCCTTTACTTTGATTTGTATAGGCTACACAAGCAGTTCAAAGCATAATCCTGGAATTGTCGTGCTCAGATGAGGTATGCTTCAATGCTGAAGCTTTTGTTAGTATGACTCAACTAAGACTTCTCAAGATCAGTGATGAATTCTCCATTTTTACACATGATTACTGCAAACAACGCCTGATTGGGCCCTTAAAGTTTCATTCTCATGAGTTGACGTGTCTCTCCTGGGCTGGTTTCCCCCTTCAGTCTTTACCATCCAACTGTCTATTCACAAATCTTGTTGACCTTGATATGCAATCTAGTCTCATTGACCGACTTTGGGAAGGAACCCAGGTATGTACGTTCATTTACATGTATATGTTTCTTTTAAATGTTTGGGTTCTAAGATGTCGCATTCAGTAATGCATGCTTTCTTGAATGTTTTGGCAGACGCTGGAAAAGTTGAAATTCATCAATTTAAGTTATTGTCAATGCCTTAAGGAAACCCCTGACTTCACAAAGATGCCAAATCTTGAGAAGCTAATTCTTCAAAGTTGTATAAGATTAGCTGAGGTTCACCCGTCCATTTGGACTCATACAAACCTTGTTTTATTGAATCTGAAGGGGTGCCAAGAACTTAAGAGTCTTCCAAGCAGCATTCATATGAAATCTCTCAAAAGACTTGATCTTTCTGACTGCTCGAGTCTTGAGATGTTTCCAGATATTCCAGAAGTTATGGAGGAACTATCATGGCTTAGTTTTTCCGGGTCAAAAATTAAAGAACTGCCCTCGTCAATTAATAATCTCACGGGATTGACCGAGTTGATCTTAGAAGATTGCAAGGAACTTAAGAGTCTTCCAAGCAGCATTCATATGAAATCTCTCCGAAGACTTGATCTTTCTGGCTGCTCGAGTCTTGAGATGTTTCCAAAGATTCCAGAAGTCATGGAGGAACTATCATGGCTTAGTTTTTCCGGGTCAAAAATTAAAGAACTGCCCTCGTCAATTAATAATCTCACAGGGTTGAGCATGTTGAGCTTAAAAGATTGCGAGGAACTTAAGAGTCTACCAAGCAGCATTCATATGAAATCTCTCAAACATCTTCATCTTTCTGGCTGCTCGAGTCTTGAGATGTTTTCAGAGATTCCAGAAGTCATGGAGGAACTATCATGGCTTAGTTTTTTCGGGTCAAAAATTAAAGAATTGCCCTCGTCAATTAATAATCTCACGGGATTGACCGACTTGATCTTAGCAGATTGCAAGGAACTTAAGAGTCTACCAAGCAGCATTCATATGAAATCTCTCAAACATCTTCATCTTTCTGGCTGCTCGAGTCTTGAGATGTTTTCAGAGATTCCAGAAGTCATGGAGGAACTATCATGGCTTAGTTTTTTCGGGTCAAAAATTAAAGAATTGCCCTCGTCAATTAATAATCTCACGGGATTGACCGAGTTGATCTTAGCAGATTGCAAGGAACTTAAGAGTCTTCCAAGCAGCATTCATATGAAATCTCTCCGAAGACTTGATCTTTCTGGCTGCTCGAGTCTTGAGATGTTTCCAGAGATTCCAGAAGTCATGGAGGAACTATCATGGCTTAGTTTTTTCGGGTCAAAAATTAAAGAATTGCCCTCGTCAATTAATAATCTCACGGGATTGACCAAGTTGATCTTAGCAGATTGCAAGGAACTTAAGAGTCTTCCAAGCAGCATTCATATGAAATCTCTCCAAAGCCTTGATCTTTCTGACTGCTCGAGTCTTGAGATGTTTCCAGAGATTCCAGAAGTTATGGAGGAACTATCATGGCTTGGTTTTTCCGGGTCAAAAATTAAAGAACTGCCCTCGTCAATTAATAATCTCACGGGGTTGGTGTATTTGTTCATAAAAGATTGTAAGGAACTTAAGAGTCTTCCAAGCAGCATTCATATGAAATCTCTCCAAAGCTTTGATCTTTCTGGCTGCTCGAGTCTTGAGATGTTTCCAGAGATTCCAGAAGTTATGGAGGAACTATCATGGCTTAGTTTTTCCGGGTCAAAAATTAAAGAACTGCCCTCGTCAATTAATAATCTCACGGGATTGACCGAGTTGATCTTAGAAGATTGCAAGGAACTTAAGAGTCTTCCAAGCAGCATTCATATGAAATCTCTCCGAAGACTTGATCTTTCTGGCTGCTCGAGTCTTGAGATGTTTCCAGAGATTCCAGAAGTCATGGAGGAACTATCATGGCTTGGTTTTTCCGGGTCAAAAATTAAAGAACTGCCCTCGTCAATTAATAATCTCACGGGATTGACCGACTTGATCTTAGCAAATTGCAAGGAACTTAAAAGTCTTCCAAGCAGCATTCATATGAAATCTCTCCAAAGCCTTGATCTTTCTGGCTGCTCGAGTCTTGAGATGTTTCCAGAGATTCCAGAAGTCATGGAGGAACTATCATGGCTTAGTTTTTCCGGGTCAAAAATTAAAGAACTGCCCTCGTCAATTAATAATCTCACAGGGTTGAGCATGTTGAGCTTAAAAGATTGCGAGGAACTTAAGAGTCTACCAGGCAGCATTCGTATGAAATCTCTCCAACACCTTGATCTTTCTGGCTGCTCGAGTCTTGAGATGTTTCCAGAGATTCCAGAAGTCATGGAGAAACTATCATGGCTTAATTTGTCCGGGTCAAAAATTAAAGAACTGCCCTCGTCAATTAATAATCTCACAGGGTTGAGCATGTTGAGCTTAAAAGATTGCGAGGAACTTAAGAGTCTACCAAGCAGCATTCGTATGAAATCTCTCAATTCCCTTAATCTTTCCGGCTGCTCGAGTCTTGAGATGTTTCCAGATATTTCAGAAGTTATGGAGAAACTATCATGGCTTAATTTGTCCGGGTCAAAAATTAAAGAACTGCCCTCGTCAATTAATAATCTCACGGGGTTGAATCATTTGGTCCTAGTAGATTGCAAGGAACTGAAGAGTCTTCCGAGCAGCATTCGTATGAAATCTCTCAATACCCTTAATCTTTCCGGCTGCTCGAGTCTTGAGATGTTTCCAGAGATTTCAGAAGTTATGGAGAAACTATCATGGCTTAATTTGTCCGGGTCAAAAATTAAAGAACTGCCCTCGTCAATTAATAATCTCACGGGGTTGAATCATTTGGTCCTAGTAGATTGCAAAGAACTTAAGAATCTTCCAAGTAGCATTGGGTTTTGGGTAAAACCCAAAACAGAGCTGTTGTGAAAATTTGACGCGTGTACAACCCCAATTTCCAGGTAATCAAAATTCAAACCCAATTTTTGATTCGGAATTAAATTTCAGAATTGGGAGATTATATTACCTGAAAAAAGAAAGAAATTTCAGGGGTTTTGGGTACACTCTGCTGATAAACACATGGATACGAAGCTCTGTTTTGAAGCAATCAGTTGGTCACTACGCCACATGCGGCGGCCTTCAATTGGTTATTGTGATTATGTCGCGAGGGAGAGGTACATATCTCTACATGTGGAATACATTTGATACCTGTCTTTTCGTTCGGGTTTGGCGGGTTTCAATTGCTTATGCGCTGCTTTTCTTTCTTGTACTTTAGATTTGTGCCTGTGCAGAAACTGTGAAGCTATTGCTGTCTATGTCAATTCCCGTTGCTAACTTGCTAATGCCACCGGTGCTCCTCCAATTTGGATGAAAGGTACTTTGCTTTCCTTCTATCTTAACTTTTCTATATCTTAAATTATTACAAAAGAGACCAGTAACAAGCTAGCCCCTTTTAGGCTAATTGGTACCCAACTGCTTGCCATGAATCTGGACCTTTGTCTTAAATTATTACAAAAAAATGCGACCGTATGAGTGTCAACTTTTAACCTTTGTTTTAGTTTTAACTTTGATTTTTTGGAGTCCTATATCCGTATAATCGTGGAGCTTTGTTCACTGCTCTCGTCTTTATATGTACTACTTCAATCATCGGTGGGTACATTGCTGCTTTCCACAATCAATTTTCAGTGACAGGATGGGTAATTTTCTTTGTCATATTGTTCTAGGATTAGTCTTTCTATCAGAGAGCTTTCTCCCTCGATTGAACGACTTCAGGGGCTTGAGTATTTAAATCTGAGAAACTGCAAAAGCCTTGTACATCTTCCCAACCCTCTGTAATTCGAAACACCTTGCAGCTATTGGTAGAGGACATTTGTTAACAAAGCTTGACCGACTCTTCTTGACCCATCCCCAAATACTCAAAGTCCCCTCAGCGACCAATGTCTGTCTCTCACAGTCACTCACAATTCCACCGAATGAATAAGTTGCCACGACTCAATCCACCGCAAGCACACCTCAACACCCCTGACCCATCCTCACCATGAACCCCAAAGTTTCACTTTTACTTTTTTGGAATTGAAGTGCTGTTCACTTCTTTGGAGTTGTTCTTTTATTAATTATTGTTTTGAAATGAATGAAGAGAGGAGGTTGATGGTGTGTAGTTGAAGCAATTCAACTTGCCCTGATCCCAGCTCCTTGTGTTTGGAAGGAACTTCGGATTGCAGCGTTGTTGCTGGGAAGATTGTGATTTGTGACAGTGGTATTAGGCCTAGAGTGCAGGAGGGACATGAGGTGAAAGATGCAGGAGCCATTGGTATGATTTTGGCAAACACAACTGCTAATGCAGAACAAATGTCTCTATTTTGACTCTTCATACAACTGTCACTAATGTTGGCTCCGCGGTTTCGAATTACCACTCCGTAGTTTCGCAGTTCAAAGGTGCTTAGTGAAAGTCGAGCCTCAGACGTTTAACTTCACCAGAGCAAACCAGAAGCTATCTTATAAGATCACCTTACCATGAAATCCCAGCAGGCGGTTCCAGAATTCGGAGGGTTGGTGTGTGGAAGGATGGAGTGCAAAGGGTGAGAAGCTCTATTGTTGTAGTTTGGTTACCTCCACTGTGAATCATGCACTGGAGTTTTTTTTTTTTTTTTTTTCCCCCTTTTTGGCATGATTTAATTTCAATGATATTAATTATTAATGCTTTTTATTCCGTCCGAGCATTTCAGTCCTTGCAGTACATGAGGCTAGTCAATCATCGTTTACATAGTACTTTCTGCGATCTATCCCGTGCATGTTAATGGCTGCTGCTGCTTCTTTGTCTTCATCCGACAGTCATTGGAAATACGATGTGTTCCTGAATTTAAGAGGACTCAAGGCTGCTGCTTCTTCGTCGGCCATCTCAACAAAGCTCTGGATCAGAAAGCAGTCAACACCTTCATTGACGCCGAAGAGCTTCAATAGGCAACGACCTTTCGGAGCTCCTGGCAGCTATTTGCAACTCAGGCTTTCGATCCAGATAATGGAATGTGTGGATGCACACGAGCAGATAGTGGTTCCTGTTTTATACAGATCCGGACTGGATCGACTCCGATATTCGAAAACAGGAAGTTTTGCAGAAGCCGTGAACGTCGTTATAATGCTGGCGTGAAGGAGGTGCAGGACTGGATGTCCGCTCTTGTTAGAGCCATCATTTATTCGGTTGGGATTCGCAAAATTATAAGTAAGTTTAATTTTTTTCACATGCACTTGCTGTTAAAGTATTTTTACTGTAGAAATATTATAACTTGAAAGTGTTCATTTTCTTGATCAAGATTAGCTGGAGATCGTTAATTACCTACCCATATGTATCAAACAAATCCACGATTTTGGTCTCGTTTAACATCCTTAAATTTAAATGGCTAAACGTTCACCAATTTGGCCATTTATATGCTCAAGAACATGAACAATTCAGATTATGATATTTGTGCGGTTAAAGTATGTTAATTGCAATTTGCAAGCAAGTGAACATGCATTCCTTTGACTCTTTTGGGCTTGTTATAAAACTCAGGTTTGATAATTCTAAAACTTCACAGGGATGATGCCAATTTGAAGCTTTGACTCTTTTGTGATGAAATCGCTTGTCAATTTGAAGCTTGCTGCTTTCTCGAAAATGTCAAGGAAGGCTTCTCGGATAATGGTGCTGTACATCGCTTCAGATAACCACTCCTCTGCTAGGCAGCGTTTGGAATGGCCGAGAGCGGACCTTTTTGGGAGCCACGACTCCAACAGTTTGGAAGATATCTTGAGAAAAGGTTTTAGCACCGGTGCACCCATGCAGGAACTGCTTCTTTCTAGGTTCTTGATGAAGTTGAAAAATTATCCCAAATTGAAGCCTTGCTTGGAAAGCAGCTTTCATTTGGTGGTGGAAATCAGGTATTTGAGGCCGAATTACATTGGGCCTTTGCGTCTGATAAGCCCAGTAGCCCAAAATTAATTGGGTGTTTAATGGCCCATGTGAAAGCCCACAATTGGGGCATGTGATTAGCTTTGTGCTTTGTATAAAGAGGAAATTAATCACTGTATTTCCTTCTCTATTTGTTCCTTTGGTGTGTGAGAGTTATTGGGTGTATTGGGGTTTAGGATTGTGAGATTGCCAAACACTTTGTAAACACTCCCATTTCCGTTTGGTTGATATTGGATTATTGGTGAGCTCCAACAGCTTCGAGGACGTACTCCAGTTACACTGACTGTTGAGGAACCTCGTTAAATCTTGGTGTCTTTCCAATTTTATTCTTGCATTTTATTTGGTATATTTCCTGCGAGTTAGCTTGAGTTGGTTTCCAATTGGTTTGGTCTATTCTTGCACAACAATTATAACAACTAGAGATATGCAATTACTAAATGGAGTTGATGCTGTAATTGTATCTAAGCCCAAGAACTTAAGCGAGTCAGAAGCTCTTGAACTCTTCAAGCAGCATGCCTTCCGAACAAACCAACCCACAAGAGATTATGATTGTTTATCGAGGCTTGCCATACAACATGCTCATGGCGTGCCTTTAGCACTTAAAATCTTGGGGGCTTGCCATACAATATCCTGAAAGGCATTCAAAACATGATGCATCTGAAAATGACCATAGTAAAATGCCTTCAGTGGGAATTGTTGATGGCCCGGAATGGAGGTGATGCAACCCTGCAGATTGGTTGCCACTTTGGTTCACATTAACAATGTCAAGAAAAGTTGTTTGGTCGAAAAGCCTTCTAGTCAGTGTTGTTATCTCTGTCATCTTCTGTGGTCTCTGTGTTCATTCCTAACAAACCAACTTTTATGCGTTTTGTTGATCCAAAAGTAATATTTCACTTTGATTTGCAGCTTGCGATTGATGGCGGTTTTCATCCTCTATTGGCGAGGCAGTAAGTCAATGCCGATTTATACTTTGTGCGGGTTGCTTGATAAAAGGCAACAGTTGTAGACTCATATGCTTTGTTGGAGTTGGAAACATCTGTTAGGAATGTCGGTACTACAAGATAGAGAATGCACGAAGTAAAGTAGAAAATGGACACCAAGAATTTACGTGGTTCGGCAATTTATGCCTACGTCCACGCAACAACGATTCATCTTCACTATATGAAAATGATGAGTACAACAAGAGTAGTCTTACCAAATCAAAGACAGCTTGATGGATAAAAGAAAGTATAACACACACTTTCTATCACTCTAAACTTCACTCACACAATGTGTAGTGGAACACTCTAACTCACACTATTGGAGTGGAACTCTTAGTTTTGGACTTGATCCCTTTCTACTCTATACTATTGTAGCAACACCCACACACCTATTTATAGGTGGGCATTGTAGCTTCTAGATCCTTCCATTTGCAATCAAGGAAGCTACTACTCTCTATCTTCTTCCACCAACTTAATAAAATGCTAGAATGGTCTAGCATGCTCCAGCCACTTCACTTACTAAAATAATCTAGAACATTCATCATGGGCTGGACCATATACCAACAACATCTCCCTACAGAAACGCTTTTGATTCCAACTCCAACAAAGCATATGAGTCTCCGATTTATACTTTGTGCGGGTTGCTTAATCGTTTAATGCTTTTGCCTGATCAGAGGAATGTAGGAACGCTTTTGATTCCGAGATTAAAAGGTACCTACTTTTGTTCAAACGGGACTGATGGTATTGCCCATTTCACATTTCACATGATTTTCATCCCTCCCGTACTCCAACCACTTCACATGATTCACCCGCCCTCGTCCTCTTCCTCTCCACGTCCTCTCCCTCAACCTCACCGCCGCTCCCGGCCACGACTCAAGCTTCCTGTTAGTGCCGGACTCGACAGCGTCGGAGTTTCTGGGGGATCGGTTTTGATGGCGATTCGGCAGAGCAGTTAATGCAATGGATGTCAAATCTGAACACCATGATTCTCCCAAAATAGGCTTCATCGGGGACTTGAATTGAATTCACAGTCAGCCACTGCGCATCACAAATCAGCTTGGCTTTCGCAGATAGCACAACCACCAACAGCGGACGGGAGTAACTGGGAAAGCGGAGAAGGAGGACTTGAACGAGAGAGAGAGCAGGTCTTATCTGAGATTTTGGGGCCTTTGCGAAATTTATAAATGGCCCTTCTCGAGACAGTCGTAAAAGAGGGCGCTTTTTTGAATTTGTGCATTTCACGGTTAGATACAATAAATGAGGGAGAATTTTAACGAAAAGCTCGCAGTATTGTTTGTTTTAACAAAAAAAATTATATTTTTACACTAAAAAGTCAATCATGTACTATTCACTTTACCTTTTATGTTGTCTTTATCGTTAAAACTCAAAAATTTTAAGCTATTTTTATTAGTTTTCCTTAAATAATAAGGGTCTTCTATCTTGTTATATACACGGCAATGTGGCCAACTTGCTTCTCCAAATTACAAAAAGAAGTTTGCTGATTTGGCAACTGCATTTTCGCTTCGTTCATGAATTGAGTGGTAGACATGGTCGACCGAGCAAGAGCATCTTCCAAATTCACTTTCTTCTGAATATTGTTTCATGACAAATTGAGGTGCCTCCCCCGTCCCTAATTATAAGTGTGTATGGATCATTACCGGAACGCGTTACATATATAAGCATTCACCATGTTTGCTTGTTCTTGCAGGAACTCTAGAAAATGGACTCCTTAAGGATAAGAGATGGTGGGATGACCAGGAACTGCAGATATGGAGCACATCCTTTGTGTTGCTATTCTCGCATTCGAGACTAACAACTTGCTTGTAATAGCGCCAATCTGCGCCTTTTGAAGCAGAAGCATTGGAATTACCAAGTTCAAATAATCCGGCCATTAATCTTCAAGAAATAGTGGGAAAAAGAAAGAGTGAACGCACCAAACTTTTTTTTTGTTTGTCAAAACATAGATTTTATTAGATTAGATATTAGATTAGTCATTAACGGAGTTTAAACTTACGCCATCATGTAAAAGCTCACTCTTTTTCACCACTATTGTAAAGGGTCATTCGCTATGAATGCATTAAACTAAAAAAAAGATAAAAAGATAAAAAGAACAAAAAAAAAAAAAAAAAAGGAAGAAAAATCACAAAAATAATTTAAATTAAACTTGATTCAATGCTTTGGAAATTAGGCCTGGCAATTTCTGACACGACCCGATAACCCGACACGACACGACACGAAATTAACAGGTGTTTAGGTCGACACTATAACGAATCGGGTCATTATCGGGTAATCCGATAAGCACCTGTTAAGATAATAGGTTGGTTCGGGTATACACGTGGGTAACATGATACACGATAAGCAGAATATTATTTTTATAATTTTATAACCCTAAAAAAATACTATAATAATTATATACATTAATTTTACAATTTTATACCCCTAAAAATTATAATAAATAAATATATATATATTAAATTAACTATAAAATTTATAATAATTGTAATAATTATATATACTATAATAATTATACCCCCAAAATATTAAGTCTATCTATAATAATTATATATATATATAATTTTATAAAAACTATAATAATTATTAATTAATAATTTAATATGCATGATGCATTGCATGATTTTGCATCCATTGAAATTTGATGTGATTTATTTCCATTCAAATTTCAATAATCAATTTCTTGCTGTTGCCAACTTGCCGCCCTTTTTGAAAAAAAAAATGGAGGGAAAATGAAAATGTTAAGAAAAGTTGAAAATGAAACAAAAAAGTGAGGGAATTAGGGAAAGATGTTGGAGGGAAAAGTGAAAATGATAAGAAAAAGTTGAAAAGGAAACAAAAAAGAGAGGGAAAAATGAAAATTAATAGAAGTGGTGAGAAATTTTTTTATTTTTTTTTAAGTTATTAACTTTTTATCACACACATGACTGTCATGACATATCTCACTATTTTTATAATGACACACGTGACACGTGATGTATGTACTATTCCGTGTACCAGTCAATTATAATTTATACGTACAAAATAAATAGATTTAAATCTACTTAATAAATATATATATACACACACACACACACGGAACTTGATTGATGGCATACAAATTCTCCAAAACTAATTTCAACGATCCAAACCGTCAAAATTGTTTGTATATGCTTGGAGATCACATCAGCAAAAAATCACAAAAAAAAACATTCAGAGATCAAGTAACGGGACAAAGCTTTTCAACAGTTATAAACGAAAAATCACGATTTAACGGTTATTTTAACTCCGATTTTGATGATTTTTTATAACTACACTCCTTGACCCTATATGAATACAATGAATGAATTCGATCTTCAATTTAAAATATTTACACAAGTGGATACCACAAATCTTATGTTATACTTGATGAAAGTATAAATAAACTCTAAGTGTTAGTCAATCTATCGTTTTACGAATTCTCCAAAACTAATTTCAGCAATCCAAACCGTCAAAATTGTTTGTATATGCTTGGAGATCACATCAGCAAAAAATCACAAAAAAAAAACATTCAGAGATCAAGTAACGGGACAAAGCTTTTCAACGGTTATAAACGAAAAATCACGATTTAACGGTTATTTTAACTCCGATTTTGATGATTTTTTATAACTACACTCCTTGACCCTATATGAATACAATGAATGAATTCGATCTTCAATTTAAAATATTTACACAAGTGGATACCACAAAATCTTATGTTATACTTAATGAAAGTATAAATAAACTCTAAGTGTTAGTCAATCTATCGTTTTATGAATTCTCCAAAACTAATTTCAACAATCCAAACCATCAAAATTGTTTGTATATGCTTGGAGATCACATCAGCAAAAAATCACAAAAAAAAAACATTCAGAGATCAAGTAACGGGACAAAGCTTTTCGACGGTTATAAACGAAAAATCAAGATTTAACAGTTATTTTAACTCTGATTTTGATGAATTTTTACAGCTACACTCCTTGACCCTATATGAATGCAAAGAATGAATTTGATCTTCAATTTAAAATATTTACACTAGTGGATGTGGATATCACAAAATCTTATGTTATAATTTATATACTTAATAAAAGTATGAATCAACTATAATATTAATAATTATATACATTAATTTAATAATTTTATATCCCTAAAAAGTAAAAACTATAATAATTATATAGATGTAGGTGTAAATTGAATACAATTTCATGATGATCGATGTAAATTGAAGATTTTGTAAATGGAGGTGTAAACTTTTGAGAAAGACTTACAATCTTAAAAACAAAAACTCTTTATCCTTGCACATTTAATATCTGTAATATATTAGTAGTGTATGTATTATTTTTTTTATTAGGCTTTTATTTTCGAGTGTAGATATAGTACTTGAATGAGAAATGTTTTAATGTTTTGAAGTAATATTTATGTGGCAATGTGTGGTATGTGCAAATTTTAAAAAAATATTTTTTTTTCTTAACGGGTCATAATGGGTCATAACGGGTTGGGTCACTTTACCCGTTGGGTAAAGTGACACGACCTGTTAAGGACCCGTTAAGATAACGGGTGTGACACGACACGACCCGTTAAGATAACAGGTGTTACACGAAAACGATACGAACACGATAAACACGACCCGTTTGCCAGGCCTATTTGG